TAATCAATGTTTACTCATAATATTTTACTTTTTGTGTTTAGTTTTGTTTAAAACAACTAATGTGTTTAGTTTCTTAAAAACAACTAAGTGTGATCTACTTTTTTGATGTAGTAGCTTGAGATTTTGAGGTCTTTGGGAAAACTACGAAGATCAACAACACCCTTCCCAATAAACAAAAAACGTGGGTATGCATTCAAAGGTTATTTGTCTTATATTCAAAATAATGAAATGATGTTGGCATAACATCTTGGGGGAATTTTAAAAGTACCATTTTTCAATACCATTTTTTAAAAATACCCCTCTTTCTAAGTTTATCAAAAAATCACTATAAAGTTTGAAATTTATCAAGAAAATATATGTAAGCTTATATTTATAGACACAAATTATCTTTATATGTGTATAAATTTACATATATATTTTGTAAATACCGTATAAATACCTTTTAAAAACCTTTTAAAAATCATTTAAAAACCTTATAACAACTTTGTAAACCTTTTAAAAACCTTATAAAAATCTTATAAATACCATTTAGAACCTTTTAAAACCTTATAAATATTTAGATTTACTCTCCCGATAGTAATGATGATCTTGATGTACCTTATGAACGATATAAAAGTTCATAATTTTCATATTTGAAAAGGGTGTTTTTGAAAATGGATAAAAATAGGATATTTTTAAAAAGGTAGAGCAAAAGGGGCATTTCTCAAAAATCTATTTCGTTATTTTTTTTTTTGTCATCCAGCATCTTTCGTTTAAATAGTCTAATTTCATATTAAAATATTTTTTGAGTTTGACTATAGTAGACAACCCGTAAAAACATATATAATCATAATTAGGTAATTTATAATATGTTCTATCACATGACATGTGCTACACAATTATCAATAATACTTTAGTACATACATTTTTTGTATTGATTGAGTTATATTCATCTGTTTTCGAAAAATTATATTTTTAATATACCTATGTTTTATATAATAATATAATTTTTAAAACAAATAAGATCATATATATAGATATTGGAGAAATGTTTGATTTATTAGGGAGAGATTTTAGGAAATCTTGTGAAATGTAATAAATATTGATTTCTAGTTTTGTTAATATAGATATATTAAAGAGATTATTAATATATCTGTATTAATATTTTCAAAGTACCTTTTGGAAAGTAACATTTTATTTTGTAATATTTGCATAATTAAACCCTTGCCATTTGAATAAATAAATAAACTTTAAGGTAAATTTTGTATTTTGTACTTAAATCATAAAAAAATTACAAAATTAGAATCAATATTTATTACATTTCACAAAATAACCTTTTATTAATTTAATATAGATATATTACAAAATAAAAGTATTAATTTAAATAGTTTATTTAGGTGTAGTCGTTAAGTTTACATTTTAGTCCACAATAATACAAGTTTGAACCTTACAAACTATCTTTTTTTTTTTGTTTCTTTTTATGCATAGGTTTGTCAAACAGATAGTTATTTTAGAGATTCTTTAGTAATATTTTTTAATCCATTTTTCGTACAATCAATTTAGGTTTTACAAAAAGGAAAAAATACTTTAATGAACATGCTAAATTTCCGGTGATGATTGTTAATGATAAAATGCAAAAGTTTTTGCTCCACCGTTAGCTTGCTAAAGTTACCGCTATCATCACACTAGTTTTGGTGAACTGCATCAACAAGTAACTTTCCAACCACTTGTGCATGTCCAGTTCCAACTCACTTTAGCTTTCTCCTTTAAAATAACCGTACAAAGTCCAACTTTCATGATTCAAAATTCTCTTTGTTTTATGTTGGTGTTTTCATGACTTAATCTTATGAAGAAAAATATATAAAATCCTAAACCAGTAACATAATATTTTAATTTATTAACAATCCAATATTGTCTTGTTTAAGTTGAATAACACAAAATTTTTAATGACTTTATAAAACCTTTAATGCAATAACTCTAGATTTATTATGATTTTAAATTACTTTTTACGAATCTACAACTAATAACACTAAACTTTAGGAGAATTTATAAATGTCTTGATTAAATTACAACATATTTTACCTAACATTTAAACTCAATAAAAATCCAATTAAATCTCAAACCAATAACTCCCCCTTATTGTAAAACAAATTCATTGTTTGTATGAAAAATAATTTTGATATACCTATACAAAATTATGGAAAAGATAATCAATTATATAAATAATATAAACCATAACGGTTGTATATGCTCAAATTATGAAAAGATAGGTTTAATTTATCTTGATTTCCAGGTTAAGCCAATTCTCGTTAATCGTTGCCATACTTGGTCCCGGTTTTTGGGTACGAGTTCGCGATAAGAAAATGTCAAATAAACTATGTTCGGACCCGCGCTACAGCGCGGGGGAAAATAATTACATATATATAATCTTCACAGATTAGAATACGTTACAATTATTTTTTTTGCAGTCCAGTCGATTACGGTGAATCATTTATTTGTATAATAAGTTTAAATAAAATAATAAAAGAAAAAGCGAATAAAAAATTATATATTAAGTTTTGATACAATTAAAAACACGGTGAAAATTCAACAGCACAAAATAATATTTGTTGATAAAATATTCATTTTGACCATTTTTGTAGTAGAAGTAGGAATATACATAAAAATTACATATTTACAAAATATTTTTTGAAGAACCAACCCGTAACAAAATTCATTTCGTAAAAAACATTATTCATAACTCACTTTATCATTATAATTGTGATTTTAACAAACTACTCGTGAACTATCTAAATTTTAAATAATTTGATATATAATATATTTTATAAATAAAAATTATATCTCCAAAATTACATTTATGTCTTAAAAAAATATTTTCAATATTTTAAATTCTAAATTTTTTATATATTTGAACCTTTTAATCATAACATTTTGAAACTTTATGAAATTTTAAATATGCTCATGTAACAATGGTTTTAATATTGGTCATACTTATAATGATTTTAAACCATTTTCCAAAATATAAGCGAGTGTAGTTGAGTATTCTATGTTCGTTTTGAAAAATTCAAATTGCAGTATATGCAAAAAAAAGTTCAATTTTTATTAAATATTTATATTATATAGTATAATATCATAAACTAAAAATAAGATCAAATAAAAGTGAAAAAATAATAATAATTATTTTAATAGATTATATTAAATTAGTTAGAGAAATATTTGGAAATCCTATCATTAGTTATAGAAATAATACAATCCTAAAACTAGATATGGAAAGTATCTGATGTATGTATCCAAACCCAATTTAATATCCACTTTTGAGGTATCCAATTGTTGAAATCGGGTTAATTTTTTAATTTTGACCCGATCAGTATTCTATTTTGTACTTCTCTTTTACTAATATAGGGATTGTTTTTTCTAGGTCAACGTATTCGGGTTTTCGGACTGGGTTCTGGTAGGATCAGTTTGGGTTCGGATTATATAGATTTAGGAAAATAGAACCCTATAGGATAATTTTTGATTTTTTGGTATAATTTTGGTTTGGGTACTTTCGGGTTTTGGTTACAAATTAGATAAATTTAAATCCTTTAAAAATTAGATAAATTTAAATAGTTTAAGCTAAATTTTGGATATGTTGATTATCTTCACAATGTCTTAAATAGCTTCCGCACTTGGACTTCGTTGACTTTAATGTTTGCGGCTGCGCCTTAATATTCGTGGCTATAAGGTTATTTAGCCCAAAAAAACACGAATTTTTAAGCTACGACGTTATAGCCACGAATATTAAGGCGCAACCGCTAACATGAAACTGGCTATAAGAATTATTTATAGGAAAAAAATAGCCAGCTACACGAAGTATAGCAGAATACATGATTAGACATCTCAACTGCAGAAATGTATAGCTAACTTACACAAACCATATGTATTACATGCCCACATATGTCAACTATATATCGACATATGGTCAACATCACGGTCATTTTATTCTAGTACATCTTTCGTTGGAATCCGGCATTGACCACCATTGACCGATGTTGACCGGCGTTGACCAACAAAAATTCAAAAAAGAAAATTAAAATTTTTTTTTTCAAAATATAGAAGAAAACTTATTCTAATTAATCTCTTATAGTATTATTATAATGAAAAAACATATTCTAATTCATTTTGATCTTATAATTACTTAATTTTTTAATTTCAAAATTAATATAAAAGTGAAAAAATCATCAATAAATTATTTTCCGAAGGGAAAACAATTTGTTTCAAAAAGATAATTGTTTTAATTTATCGACGCATTATTAATTGCAATTTACAAATTTCAAGGTAAATAACTAAATACTATTGGTTTAGAATTCTAAAAAGTTGTGAATTACAAAAATTTATACAATTATAACTAACCTTTAAATGTTTTCTTAATATGTTTGAAAATCCTAGAAAATTTATCTTCTAAGAAGTAAGAACAAAGAAAGTATATCTATCAAACGGTTATACTCAAATAAAAAATAGATATATTAAAATCATTATTATAATCCGTCATCGTTGTCCAAGGAAAATATATATATTTTTTTGTTTGTGTTATTGTACATTTAAACAGCTTCAAATTAAAAAGGAAAAACTATTTGAGTCGAGATACTTTAGCTTCTTTTTTTTTATGGTGATTTTTCATTAATCCTACCATACAAATTTGATTTTACCATAATAAAATATTGTAAAGTAAGATTTTGTGCTTAAGAAAATCGAATAGAATAATAAATTTTGAATAAATAATCTTTCAAATTTCTTAGATTTAACGATATCGTAAAAATTTAATTATGCTAATATTACAAAATATAAGGCTATATAACCAAAAATATCTTTAAAAAATGTTAATATAAGGCTATACAAGTTTCTCTTTTCTCCAACGCTATTCATAAATTCAATTTAGCACGGCGAAAGAGCTATCATCCTCCAAACCCTAGAAGATGCCTCCGTTGTTCGCCTCTTCCTCTGTGTTCGACCAGCAGCATTCAGCAGAACATAAAGCAATCATGGATTCAGATTTCATCCCTACAGAACTTATCCTCGAGATTTTGTTGAGATTGCCTGCAAAGTCGATCGTTAGGTTTCATTGCGTGTCGAAGCTATGGAGTTCAATGCTTCGTAGTCCATATTTCACTGACTTGTTCCTGACCAGGTCCTTGGCTCAGCCGCGGCTCATATTAGCCATCGAAAATAATGGTGTTTGGAGCATCTTCTCGTTGCCTCAGAGTCCTTATGAGAAGTCTTCATCGTCGTCCCTTGTAGTAACTGCTGAATTTCATCAAAAGTTCCCTCACATATCGTCGTACTGACCGACAATTTTCTTGTGGCTATGTCGGGGGTTTGATGTATTTGTTTGGTATGAGGGTTAAGCCGAGGGATTACGATGGAGTGCCTGTGATATTTAACCCTAAAACGGGAAGGTATGCAACCTTACCTATTCTGTATAGGTACAGAAGGACGTATAGCTTTTTGGGATTTGATCCTATTGACAAGCAGTACAAGGTATTGTTCATGTCTTACCCATTTTGTTATGATCACCATAAAATTCTGACAGTAGGAAGTGGAGAAATGAGTTGGAGAAGGATAAAATGTTCCTTAACACATGAGAATGTGAGCGAAGGGATATGCATCAATGGGGTTTTGTATTACTTAGGTGACACGTCTGAGGATTTACGTGAATTTGTGATAGTTTGCTTTGATGTTAGGTCTGAAAAATTCGAGTTTATTTACCCGGAAAGCTTTTGTGAATTGGTAAACTATATGGGAAAGTTAGGTTTGGTTTATTATAATGCCTATGCTGATGACACCGTCGAGTTGCGTGTGTGTGAAATCGTTTTGTCGATGGCTGATTATAAATCTAGACAACCATTTTATATTTTCTACTTCAATCCCGAAAAGAACGTTCTCCAACGTGTTGAAATACAAGGTTTTGGAGAATACCATGAGGCAGTCGACAATCTTAGTAGAGTCCACGTCTTTGTAGACGATTCTAGTAGGTTTTACGCCTTTGCAGACTATGTAGAAGATCTTAATGTTAACGATTCAAAGCTACTCAGGTCAGAAATCTATGAAGCCATTTACCCGAAGATAGAAGAATCAGAATCAGATATTTCTTTTTCAGATTCATCAGATGAAGAAGAGACGGAGTAGCACACTAAGAAGAGATGAACTGGATCTAGCTAGGCTAAAGCTTGAAAGGTTTTGGGTTCTTAGTGACCCCTTAGATGTCATGTCATACAATTTGGGTGCTCTTTTTTAATGAGCCGTGGAGTGGGAAGAATCTGAATGTTTTCTTGTGAGACTTGAATTTAATGGGTTTTATTGTATAGGTCGATGTATATAAATCTTGACTTGAAATTGAAATGTATTGTATATGGTTACTGGACGTGTATCCATATTGAAATATCATCACCACTGCGCCATAGACAAAAAAAAAAACATCTTGAAATTTTTTGAACCTTTTTTGTAATGAGGCTACTTGAACCCAAAATTGATTAAATTTTCCAAACTTGTATTATATGAAGCAAACCCAAATAACATATTTATAAAACTGTATACTAAACAAAAAACTCCAATCATCGTTTAAGAAATTATTAGAATGGTTTCTTGGAAAAATGAAATTGAGACTAAATTTATGATATTGATGGAACCATATAAATTACATAGAGATTAAAAATATATATATATATATCTTATCTTTAACATTTTGATTCGATCTTGAGGAGGACCAGATTTGATGATTGTTTATACCAAAAATATGTCGTTGATTAGACTCAGCAGACAGCCACAAGTATTGATCCAAAAAAGATTCATAAATTTTGGTATCAGAGTAATCGAACTTTGACTGTTAGAGAGTTCAAATTACAACCATTGAAACCTAAGCTTATTGAAACCCATTGCTGCTTCGTCTTCCATTGTCTTCGATTCCGAAGACAAACACAAACTCGTCAGTTTCTGTTGTTTGCATATGAGTCTTCTTTGTCCGCCATTACTGGTCACAGATTGAGCTTTATATTGTCGATTTCGAAGTGGGTTTTACGGATTTTGGTTAGTCTTCTTCTAAAAACTCGATTTTGGATTCAATCTCTTTCGTTGTTGCATTTTGGATTATGAGAATTCGATTTTGGATTCAAGCTCTAGAGATCGTTTTAAGTAGCCTTGGATGATGTCTGAGTTTGTTTCCTTCCCTCTCCTGAAGACTATTATGCGTTTAAGTTAGATTTGGATCATGTATGTACTAATGTTTCTTTGTGTGTCCTTTGTTTTCCCTTGTGAAATTCTTCTTCTTTTGTTGATTTGGCTATGAGTTTGTTCATAAAACTGATGCTTTGTTCTTAACCAAAATGTGTTTCTTGCTCTGAATGAAATAAGACTGTTTCAGATCAACCACATTGCTTAAGAACTGGCAAGCCTTGTTATAAGCAGAACGTCTTTAGTTTGTGTTTGCTTTGCTTCCATTTGTTTAGCTAATTTTGATGTTTTGGTTTGTAACAGGGCAGTTCAGCGATTGTTATAAAGCAACCAAAGAGATCAGAGGCAACCCTTCTCTCCTCTGGTTAGTTCTCTTAAAACCTTTTTCTCCTTTGATTACTCTTTTAAAACCTTTTTCTCCTCTGGTTAGATCTTTTAGAACCCTTTTCTCCTCTGGTTTGATAATGTAGAATAGAGAGTTTAAGGTAGTGTTATAACATGATATGAGAACAACCAGAAGAAGAAGAAAATTGTTGCTTTATAACTTTGTTTTTGGTTTGAAAAATCCAAAATGTGAAAGAGAAGAAAATACGTATCGATTCTGATTTAGTGGCCTCCTTCTTCTTCTTCCTTCGCTTGAGGCCAGCTTCACATATCTGGTATGTATGAGCTTTTCCTTTGCATTATTTCGAATATATTTGAACTCAGGTCGAGTCTAATTAATGACTTTTTCTAAGAAAGATCGAAACTTTGTAGAAGGCAGCGCTTGTATAAAAAATCGAACCAATGCTTTGTTCACTTGTTGAATGTCTTGTCTTGTCTTATTGCCCTTTGGAACAGGTGAAAATCTTGCAAAGCCTTGAGATTTGACATGATAAAGACTTTGGTTTCTCCTTGTAGTGTATATGTACGGAACTGTGTCTCCTCTTCCTCACTCTTGCTTGAGTCTTTGTTTTAATTTTTACCCAATTTTTATTCAATCCACGTGACACAATTTTTGATTTTATTTAAATGCAGAAGAAGCATATAGTTGTCTCCATGTGCATCTGTAAAAGTTTATATTCCTGTGTTTAGGGATTTGGATCTCAGAAGCTGAAGTTTGACCGATCTTGTAAGAGAGTGAAGCCAAGAGCAGTAAGAATGGAACTCACAATCACTCAACCTGATGATTGGCATCTTCATCTCCGTGACAGTGATCTTCTTCAGGCTGTTGTTCCTCACAGGTCATATAACTTCCTGCAATTTTTTTTGTTTTTTCCTTTGGTTTGCAATTTTGAGTATAATTGTGGATGTGTGTCTTTTTCACATTACTGTTTTGGTTGTTGTTGGTGTTTTATATAGGAACACTGCTTGTTTGTTATGTATGAGATCTTCAATTTACAATCTTAATGTTTTTCGTTGATTTTTGTGTTGTATTTGATGGTTAATGGTGTCTGTAAATGTGTATAGTGCGAGTACTTTTAAGAGAGCGATTGTGATGCCAAATTTGAAGCCGCCTGTTACAACTACTGCAGCTGCCATTACTTACCGGGAATCTATCATGAAAGCTTTGCCATCTGGGACTAGCTTTGATCCACTTATGACACTTTATTTGACAGACAAAACTCAACCTGATGAGATCAGGCTTGCAAGTAAGTACAACCTGTGCTTTTGTCCATCATGTTGCAAAGTAGTCAGTTACATTTTTCATCTTTCAGATTGAGATTCTACTTGCGACTGTTCAGTTTATTCTTATATATCCGTTCGTTTTTAGGGGAAAGTGGTGTGGTTTATGCGGTGAAGCTGTACCCTGCTGGAGCAACAACCAACTCCCAAGATGGTGTCACAGACCTTTTTGGAAAATGCTTACCGGCACTAGAAGAGATGGTCAGACAAAACATGCCTTTGCTGGTAAATAGATCACAGCACAGAAGACTTGTATTTTTGTCTTTTATACTGTCTTGTCTGAGGAAATGTTTTGGTTAGGTTCACGGAGAGGTCACAGATCCTAGTATTGATGTCTTTGACCGCGAGAAAATCTTCATTGATACAGTTCTGCAGCCTCTGATTCAACGCCTTCCACAGCTGAAAGTTGTGATGGAACACATTACTACCATGGATGCTGTGAATTTTGTTGAATCTTGCAAAGAAGGTTTTGTAACTATGTTCTTTTTAATTTCTTGTCTTTTGATTTATATTAATCTGCCTAACTCATGCCCTTTTGTTGATTATAGGGTCTGTGGGTGCAACAGTCACACCACAACATCTCCTTCTGAACAGAAATGCCCTTTTCCAAGGTGGATTACAACCTCACAACTACTGTCTTCCGGTTCTCAAAAGAGAAATGCACCGTATGTTCGTCACTTTCCTTAAGAACTTTAAGATTTCATTTATTTCAGAGCTTTCTGAAGATCATTGTTTCATTGTACAGGAGAAGCCATTGTTAAAGCTGTAACTAGTGGAAGCAAGAAATTCTTCCTCGGTACAGATAGTGCTCCACATGAACGGAGTAGAAAAGAATCATCTTGCGGATGTGCTGGTATTTACAGCGCTCCTGTTGCCTTGTCCTTATACGCCAAGGTCTTTGATGAGGTAAACTTTGTAACTTCAGACAATTTACCTTCCCAGTTTGGGGTTTCCTTATGTTCATAGCTTTTACTTCTTTAACATTCAGGCTGGTGCTCTTGACAAGTTGGAAGCTTTTACAAGCTTCAATGGCCCTGATTTCTATGGCCTCCCGAGAAACTCATCAAAGATCACACTGAAGAAATATCCATGGAAGGTTCCAGACGTTTTCAGCTTCTCCTTCGGAGAGATCGTCCCTATGTTTGCTGGAGAAACCCTTCAATGGCAACCTTTGAACTAATGTGGTGGTTTGGAGTTGTTTAATTTTTCTCCCAAATCAGTTTATCTAATAGAACCACAATGTTTTTTTATAAAGTCTTTCATTTGGTACAAATAGATACAACTACAAGTGATAGAAACGTATTGTACAGGTTATTTTTGTTTTTTAAGTTTAGCTGCTTGAGAAAGAATAAATTAATACACTATGTTCAGAAATTATTGAATATCTCAGACTTTTTGGACGAAAATATTATACAGCAAATGAAATAGTTGGTAGTTGTTGATACATTCATTGTGAAGTGGTGAGACTAGATTTGAGGAGGGACTTTCTTGGGTTGTCTTGTCTCAGGAGGTCCAATGAACAAACCAGTCTCCACTTCCATATATTGTCATCGTCATCTATGTTCACTTCTGATGATGATGAACGTTGATTGTGATGATGCTACTGTTGCTCCCATTCCAAGCCACTTGCAATATTCACCAAAACTCTTCTTAATCAGAAACCATGTTTACGTTTTATACTAGAAATTAAATAGCAGCATTATAAAACTCGAAACTAAAAAAATGTACGTACCTTTCTCCTTCAGCTCTTTATTTTCCTTTGCGAGTTTCCTCTCCTAAGATTTTAACAAGGAACATTCATAGGTGTACACACTAACACACATTTTTAGAAAGAAAAGTTTTAGAAACATGAATGTTGTGTTTTACGTCTTCCTTCAACTACTCTGAATTTGATATTTACAAAAAAAAATCTTATCTAATTTATGATATTGATTGAACCATATAATTACATAGAGCTTAAAAAATATATATATCTTATCTTTAACATTTTGATTCGATCTTGAGGATGACCAGATTTGATGATCGTTTATACCAAAAATATGCCGTTGATTAGACTCAGCAGACAGCCACAAGTATTGATCCAAACAGATTCATAAATTTTGGTATCAGAGTAATCGAACTTTTGACTGTTAGAGAGTTCAAATTACAAAAGTGTAAAATACACGACGCGACTCAGAACAACCAAACATCCATCTACACAGCAGGAGTCGTGTGTATCAATCAATGTAGAGAGGAAAAAAATAATTAAGCAGTTACCTTATGCAAAGGCGAGAGCTCAAGTTTTGAGTCTTCTTTAGTTACTCTTCTTGCTCCCAAACATTTTCATTTTCTCTGGTAAAAGGCCATGGATGAATAAAAAGATTGATGATACCAACAAAACCTTGGAAAGAGCAGTTATTATGACGGAAGAAGATCCCGCAGTTGCAACAAAGTTATGATAGAGAGTAATCAGAATGACTATGGCAATGAGAGTCTGCTTTTCCCATTGAATTGTAGTATCAGTAACTGCAAAAGGATCATATGCCACCCATAAGACTTTCTCAGTATGTAAGCCAAGATTACTTACTAGCGTGGTCTACTTGTGGTACCAAGATTTCGGTTTCTATGTTTTGTTTCTTCATGAATCTTAGTACCTAATCTAATCTAATATGGATAGTTTCGGTTTGATTTCAGTTTCTGTATCAGGTTCAGGTTTTGATCAAATATTACAACGATAAAACCATATTTAAACATGGTTTGGTTTTCGCATTGATTATTTTCAGTTCAGATCGGATGGTAAACCTCTTAATCCTAAGCATACAATCATAATGGTATGACTTCTGCCACCTTCACTGAAGTTGTCATATGATTTTATCTCAAAGCCAAAAAAAATCCAGAGACATTGCAATATACATACCTTCTGTTTTGGGTTGATTTTGAGCAGCCAAGTATGAGAACGAATCTATTGTCCTTTTTATACCTTCCTAGCATTAGGAAACAAACAATGAAAGTGCAAGGGTAAGCAATACAAAAGCAGAAAATATATCGATCTCAGTCTCAAATTAAAGCAAAGATTGTATAAACCTGAAGTGGGACAACAGGAGCATAGCCTAAACGATCCTTTGCTTTTGAAGAATCAAAAGTTCTGTTGCAAGAGAGTAACCTAACTCTAGAAGGTGTTAGCACTGGTACTTTCATTCCATATGGTCCCAGTAATTTATATGCCAGTTCCACAAGATGTGCTATTGGCATCATTAGCATTGCAGGTATCTTTATACTCGGCCTGTATAACATAAAACAATTTACCAACTTCTATTAGTTCATCATGGATAACATAAATCAAGCGTACTCGGAAATTTCTTTTACTTGTGTTGGGTAGGAAAAAGATAAGAAAGGAAACGAGATATCTAACTACGACTAACAACACAGCAGACATAGATAACTCCAACAAGTGGAAGTACCTTCTTGTAACTTTTGTTACAGAAAATATACCTCTCATAGCCAAGTCCTTCAAGAAGCTGTGACATAAACTCCCAAAATTTAATTGGCTCCATGTTCGTAATGAAGTATGCCTGCAAAGCCATTCATGTAGCATTAATACATTGATGATCTCCATACATCATAAACATTCCCGAACTAGCATACGAAAAGATGAACTTCTATTAAGAAATTGGCGGAAGTTTACTTTTGAAAATTACCACACATTTTTACAACCTACATGTAGTATGTGACCTTATAACCCAAACTAAGTCCAAGAAAAGCAAGAAGGAAAATTTAAATGTCCAAATACTACCAGACTGGGGCCAAACTCGTATATATGCTTTCATTAACTGTCATCCAACTTTCTGACTCTCTTAATTCCCTAAGGAGCAGATAAGGTTCTGCGTATCTTATTCATTCACTTTCCCCAATGCTTTCATTCATTACAGTTCAGAACATTATAACAGACAGGACTATAACTTAAAGAGGTAATTTATATACAGTAAAATAAGAACAGCGGCAGAACATAGTACCACTATGATACTATAGATAACTACAACATGTTACAATTGAAACAAATACCTGGCCTGCAGCTTTTGCACATACTTCTCCTTCTGATGCTAGTGCTCGCTCAGCGCAGACATGGGCGTGCACAACATTTTCAACATAAGTGAAATCATAGAAGTTACTCCCATCACCTATAATGAACTGCACAAAAAAGAATGCAAAATGAATCATTAGCGCAAACTAAATTATTGAATGTGCTAGAAAAGCGAAGACATGACACATGAGACAAAGCATCTTTTAGCTATTTATTCATTTTAGCATGTTCATGGATTACGCACACTGTCATGGAAGTAGTAAGACTAATGAAACCATCACTTATAAAGGAGAGACAAGAGCATAATAGACCACAAGGGAAATAGATAGCATTTAAAAATCCAAAGAGATAAACAAAGAAAAATATATCCAACCTTGGATTTCCCAGCTCTGGCAGCAGTAACAAGCGATGGAACCATTAATTTATCACCAGGACCAAATATACTGCTAGGACGTATGCAACAAGTGAGTAGTCCATTTCTTCCATTCGCTTTTAATATCAAAGCTTCCCCTTCAGCTTTAGTTGCTGAATACGAGTCATTATGCTGAAAACAAAACGGAGTTACTCAGTAAACAGAATCTCAAAAAAAATCAACAAAAACAAATGATGCATCAAAACATACACTTAATCCTGTAAACAATATCAAATTCTAAACAAAGATCAAAAAGACCTTAGGTGGATACGGCATTGATTCATCGGCATTCAAAGTACCATGGACACCGTCAAACACGACACTCGGAGAGCTTGTGTAGATTAGCCTCTTTACTCCAACCTCAATACAAGCATCAATTACATTTGTCGTCCCTACCACAAGGAAGTTGCTATTAACATTTAACACTAACAAACCTTTTCAGTTCTAAACAGAGAGAGATTTAAAGATTCAAGTATCTTCAAACCTTGAACATTAACTGAGTAATGAAGCTGGTGATTATTAATCGACGAATCTGGAGCAGCCATATGAAACACCACTTCTGCTCCCTCAAAACCTATTCAACTTCATCTTCAGATTACCAAAACACAGAAACAAAATCGCCAAAATCACTGAACTAAAATTCAATTCGAAAGCCAAAAAATACCTTTGACAACTTGAGATTTGTTCCGAAGATCAGCAGAAACGTACTGAACTCGACCGGATCTAATTGATTCACCGAGAAGCCCAGTCTCCTCGTGAGGCTCAAGCTGTATCGCCGGAGCCAAATCGGCGATACGGACGTGGAAAATCTCGTGACGTATGAGCATTTCCACAAGATGCCTCGCTGCGAATCCTCTACCACCGGTGACGACGCACCAACGCTTAGTCTCCGTAACTTCCGTCACCATTGTCTTCTCCGCCGAACTACTCAAATCCAAAGAGTATAAGAAAAATGAAATTTGCTCACATTTGAATTCAAAATTGATCAAAAAAACAGATAACAAGAGTCAGATGGGAACTTAGAATTAAGAGAAGAGCTGAGCTTAATTTGAAGGAGTTACATTTTACGGCGAGGCGAAAACGACGGCGTCGGGGTCAATGGTGGAAGTCAACGGCGAGAGCAGCGGTGTTCGAGGGACTGAGAGGAGAGAACGTTCGGAGAAAAGGAAAAAGCTTGGTAGACGGCAGATGAAATCGAGGTGGTATTTTTCAAAAGCAAAAACAAAATCTGAAATAATTGCATTACGTTTTTTTCTTACAGCAACAAAAATAATTGCATAATATTTACCAAAAAAAATTGCATAATTATTTTTTCAATTTTCTGTAACCGAAAAATTAAAATTTATATTCGTTAAAATAACTAAAAGTTGACAACAAAAAAATAACTAAAATTAAATATATACAAGTTTATTTTATTAACTTAAAAACTTTTAGGGAGAATTTCAAAAATACCCCTTTTCATATACCTCTTTTTAAAAATACCCCCTTTCAAACTTTATCAAAAAAACTATTAAAAATATTGAAATTTATCCAAATATGTATGTAAGCTTATAAATATATACACAAATTACCTTTATATGTGTATAAAACTTTATATAACTTTCATATATAGCAGAAAAATAAATTATAAAAACCATATAAAAACCTTATAAAAACTGTATAAACCCTTTTAAAAACCTTATAAAACTTATAAAAACGATTTAAAACTATTTAAAACATATTAAAATATTTGTATCGAATCTCCCAGTAGTAGTTATTATATAGAAGTACCTTATAAACTATATAAAACTTTATAATTTTTTATATTTAGATAGGGGTATTTTTGAAAATGGATAGATAAAAGGGGTATTTTAAAAAAGGGGTACACCAAAAGGGGTATTTCTCAAAAATTCTCAAACTTTTAATGTTGGGTATTTTATTTTCTCATAAAAGATCTGCAATTTATTTACTTCTCACTATCTTTATATCAATGGAAAGATTTTGCTGTCTAGTTTTTTTTTTTTGCTAAACTGTAAATATTTCATTGAAAATGAAAATAGTTTAGGTTACAATCATAAAAATTGAAACCTATACATATGGTTCCATGGCAAAAAAGATAAAAACATGGAAGCATAAGATGGTAATAAAACCAAGATTTCGGTCCATTTGCTCAACCAAGCAATGAAGCTATGGTAACAAGATGAAGCGATGACGTTTTTGTTGTCCTCCCCATATGAGATGCAGAAGAGGAAGGGCAATTGCAAATTGTAAACACCTTGATACGACAAAAAATTGCTCTAGAAGCCTTTCGCAGGAGGTCCGATACTGAGCCGTCAACGGTGAAAACTCCAAATCATCGATCACATACTCTCTCTGCGTCATGTGAGATTAATTCTTTGTTTCGAGCCATGAGCTTTCTCAGAAACGGAACCTCACAAGCCAATTTAACCAAGTGGTGCATGCTCCCTCTACCAAGTTCATCCCCCAAAGTCAGCAGAGCAAAATAACACGTTTTACAACCACACCAAAAGCCATTAGCCCTACTAGCTCCTCTACAGCACAAGAAGACGCAAGCAAGAGGCGAGAACGCAAAGCAACGCAATCTTCAAACAAAAGCAATAACAACAGGGAGCCACAACAAAGAACAAGCCTTGAACTAAATCAAAGGATTGAAATACAAACAGAGTTCTCAAAAGGAGAGGGGAACTAGCTACCACCGGTAACTAAGCCCTCAACTTATCAAACACCGTTGCAGCTACAAAAAGGAGCCATTAAGCATCTGATTCGACGAAGGAGCTTGACCAGCCACAAGAAAACACACTCTTAATAATTCTGCCACTGTCCTCAAGCAGAAGATGCCAACAGAGACATGATTCTCCTAAAATGTCAAGGCTCAACGAAGAAAATGACACAAAAAGCATCCAAATGAGACCTAGCTCTGAAACCTATGCGAAGGAGGGCTAGAAAAGAGAGGTTGAGGCATCAAAGGCTCAGAAGGTCGATGAACAACACCAACCAAGAATGGCAAACCATCCAAAGAGCCAAAGAAAACCTCTCGATTCAAACTCAGACACACGACATCGACACGCACGGAGTGGACAGAGGCTTCAGGCGTGTGGGAGTAAGCTGTCCTCAAGGCGAACAACCCGACACAGAGACACCCAAAACTCCGGTAGACACGAGCCAAAACGCGGCGGTTAGACCAAGAGAAATCCTGGAAAAAATGAAACTGGGCAAAGAAGAGAAGCGACACCACGGCAAAGCCTAAGGAAGCTCACTCGATAACCGGAATCACCAGGAAGAAGGCGAACTACAATAGATCTACAAACCTAAGTTTGCTCCGCCGCTTGAGATGCGAGACGCTAGGACTAAAAATTTGAGCCTCCACCTTGGTCCAACACTGTCTACAAGCAGAGGAGGTAGAGAACAGGAGATTTCAGTCACCGGAGAGACCGGCCGTCACGCACGGCGGACCTTCAACACTCGCCACGAGAAACAGAACTGATTCAACCCTCTGAAGTCTTCAAGTGCAAGGGTGGAACCAAGACAATAGCAACCAAGAGCCCTCTCGCAGCGCCGGTCGAAACCAGACACCGGAGAGGCAAACGCGGCGGAGTTGGATTTGTAACAGAAGAAAACTTTCGGGAGAGAAAGAATTGGGGGCGCGTTGGGTCACACGCCTTACTTCAAGTTCTCAAATGGCTCCTTTTTGGAAGTTTCTAGAAAATATTTCAGATATAAAACCCGAGGTCTGTAGCCACACAAGCAACACAATCAATTAATCTCAATCCATCAAAGCAAAACCCATCAAAACAACACAATCAACTAATCTCAATCCATGCTAAAACAGAGATTGAGAAAACTATAGAAGAAGATGCAGAATAGCTTACCAAGATAACAAAGATGAGAGCAGTGAAGCAGAGAAATTGAATATAGAACTCTTCTTCTCTTCTTCGCCGCTTCGTTCTTTTTCTTCTTCTCTTAGGTTATGTCCAAGTTAGGTTTAGGTTGTTTTGTAAACATTTAACAAAGGAAGGGTGTTTTTGTCAATTTCCAAATTGAACGGAACATTTTGATCGCCCTCGTTGAATAAAACTGGCGTTTCAAATTTTTTTTCACAGAACGTTGCGTTTGCTGCTACGTTATAATGCAGCTCATGGCGTGACCAAACGAACGTCATTACCGCAGCCGCAACAACCTGCGGCGGTGAAACGAACAACTTCAATGGTTGAATATTTACGGTTGTGCTTGTGAAAATATTTCTTAGTGAGTGGTAACTTACTGATCATTGGGTAAAAACTTGGTTCTAGTAAAATTCAATAGATATATTTGAAAATGAGTACGCTATTTCTCTAAATTTTCACCAAGTTTTAGATAACCAAATAATATAATTAACAACAAAACTATGCCGCTCTTTTTTTCCTTCTTAATTGTGCTTATATCTCTATAAATAGTAGATCCTTTGCCATATAGAAGACTAATCAATCTAACAAAATTTTCTCTTGAAACAAAAATTGTAAATCAATAGTAATAATATTCTAAAATTTTCTAATAGGTGCAAATTGTGAAAAGCAAAAATGGAGAAAGTCAAATTCTTTGCTATAATCTTTATTGTGGCAATGGTTATGACAAGGGTTGAGGCGGAAGAGGTTCCGATGCAAGTGACGACCAATGAGGTGACTCTAGCGGCCGAGGCTGCCGCCTCGAGTCTCAAAAGCAGCGTGGGAGAGGCTGCTCAAGGAGCCAAGACATGGGCTGATTGGGCTACTAGCAAAATCAGGTGACTTGTTTTGTATTTTGTGTGCCTTAACCTCAAATGTTTTGTGGCAAAACAATTATCGATTGAATTGTTTTTTTTTTTTCATCTAGTTTTGTTAAATAAATTACGATACATTTGAGTTGATTTAGTTTCATTTTCAGTTCTGAATCTCCTTGACGTATATGTATTTGAACAGAAATTGATTTTGAGATTTCATAATTTTGGTATAATTTTTAAACCTTGTAAGAATTTACTTTTTTCATATTAGGGTTCCAAAAAATCAATTATTTTTAAAGTGGTTTTTATGTTTATTTGTTTGAAAGGTTTATTTTTCACCATTCAATTTTCTAAAATGTAGGGAATTTGGGATTCCAAAATCAATTGTTTTTTTAAGTGTTTTTTTTCTTTGAAAAGTCTATTTCTCACCATTCAAATTCAAAAACAAAAATAGGTTTTCTAAAATCAAAGGAAACTAGTTATCAAATGGTTTGCCCAAGTATTAAAGAAAAATTTGATTTTCTGATACATATTTCAACCTTTGTATGAATTTGGTTATTTTATATTAGGGTTCCAAAATCAAATATTTTTTGGGTTTTTGTTTCTTTGAAAAAAAACTATCTATACTATATAACTTACTCATAACCAATTAATCTTAAAGTTTAAAATTCATAACTCTTAACCTTTTCAAAAGCTTGAAAAATATTAAACATACTACCGTATTACCAAAATTTACTGATATCTTATGTAATATCATCACTAACCAAATTTATTTTATGTCTATAAGGCATCCTGGCAGTTTGGAGAAAGCACCGGGATCAGAGTGAAACAAACATTTATCTTAAGAATATGCTTAAAATGGTTTTATCAACAAAAAAATTATGTAAACTCTTCTGTTGCATTCACTTGTACCTCACGCGAACTCTTATTGTATAAGACTTTTTCCCACTAATGCTAACACCTAATTCAAATACACTAACACACCATTCAAGTTGAGAATAACAAAAGTGAAACTTAAACGTACAATTCAGCAACGACACTAACATCCAACTAAGTGTGGTTACCAAAACCATTGAATGACTCAATTCCAACCTAAACAAAGCTAAGCATATCATCTCTGCTTTGTCTCAGAAGACATGTTTATTGCAAAACAAAGAGACCCAAAAAAAAAACCTTTTCTTTTGGTGAACAATGTGTCCAATGTTTCGTCTTCTAGAAGCCAACAACTTGTACATATAGAATACTCCAAAGAACAGAGAGACAAATGAAGAGATCAACAACGGAAACTATCCGGTCTATGTTCTTTCATGGATATCCATGGATACATTTTACAGTATCCATGCTTATATTACTTTCTTCCACGGGTTAGCCTCTGCAAATGGTAGTTAATGTTTCCCCAAGACTTGTTCTTATTATCTGTCTGCAAAGCAAAGGGTTTCAAGAAAACACAAAAAGGAAAAAGTTCAATGTTCCGCAAAGGCAGTAGTAGTGACAAATAAAAGCATTAAACGCGGTGCAAATGCAAAGTTATTGACCTGGCCATGCATACAAACACTGAGGAGTTGCTTCTGTTTCTCACATTTATCATCTTTGATATGGTTAAGCGCCATACAGTTGAGGAACGATACCATTTCCTTCATACACGGTTTCGCCATATTCCCGAGCTTTTTCGGGTTTATGTACAAATTCCCAGCCTTTCTCCCCATGGCTCCCTCAAACCAACTAAACAACCAGAAACCAAAAACAAGAATCAATCAATCTGCATCAACAAAACCAAGCCTTCCCACAGAGCTACTTCAACTACACTAACCCTGAATACGCTTTTAAATCACACTTTACACCAATTGATTCAACCCTTGGTCTTTAACAAATATACCCAACAAGAGAAATGAAGAACATTGAGATTAACACACGAAACACTAACAATTAGACAATGAGAGGTTTGTAAAATGTATCTAAAACAATCACAGTGGTGACTAATCATCAAGACAAGTCCATTGTAACAGCTACAGCCACAATGTTACTAAGGAGAGAACCTAAACTTTTCTTTGATATTGACAACGACTAATACAAAATTATAAACTCAATTCTTGTAGAGAAAATATTCCAAAATCTGAAATTTCATCAAACAAATGAAGAACAAATCTAAAGGAACAAAAGCTCGGAATCATGAATCAAAGCCAAAACTAAAAGCAGAATCTCAGATCCAAGCGTGTAATGAATCGAACCTAAGTAGTCAAAACCAAAACGCAGAATCGTAGAAAAAACGAATCAAACACACAATATAATCAGAGAGAATTGGAGAAGAGGTACTAACACAGTGTAAGGTAGAAGATGAATCAACGAGCTCTGAAGAGACGAGAAGAGACGAGAGAAATGGTGAATCGCAGATTGAGAAAGACAGAGAAGCTTCGAAAATACAAAAACCCTTAGACCGAAAAAAAAAAAAAAAAAAGGAAGAAAAAATTAAACCCTATAATTATTTTAGTTAAGCCCATTGGACTCTTAGCCCATTAAGGAACCCAATAAAATTTTTTTTTTTTTTTTTTTTTTTGTCAACAGGAACCCAATAAATTTAAATTAGTATATTCTTTTGTTTTGGTCTCAGAAATAATTCTGTGTAGGTTTTGTTGTTTTTTGAGTTTTTTTTTTTTTAACTTAGAATCTACAATATTTGTTTTGTTTTCAGTTGCTAAGGTGATCAGTAAGTTTTTAGGGTAATATTGGTGCGTTCGAGTAGAGGCTATCAGATTGAGCAATTTTGATGATTAAAATAGTCACCCAAACTATTCCCGATGAAATACAGGATATGAATTTTGAGTACTGCGATGATATGAAAAAATTTCGGTGGTTAATTCCTAAATTCAATTTTAAGTTTCTATTAACTTTTATAAAGATTAAATTTGGGATGAATCAAAGTCCATTGTGTGATAGGTATTTCGGAATTTAAAAATATTTGTAAACTAAAATAGACATGAGAAATACAATATATTTTTTTTTTAATGGAAAGGAAGAAAAATCTCCCTCACAAACTCAAATCATAAAACCAAATACAAAATCAAATACAAACCCGTCGTGGAAACGCAATTCTACGGAACAAAAGTAAAGCAACACTATTAGGAACCGCATCAAACCGATGAAATTCCAAAGCTAGAATAAACGCATAATTTTTTTTACCTATTTTCATCAAAGATCACATAAATTTTATGATGGATGCTAATTTCTTACATTCACGTATTTTATTTATTGTATGAAATTTAGATATTTTGGACCTAATTATGCTGAATTGGAGTCTAGATATGTGAAACGATATGTACATTACTGATAGTATATACATAGTTATTAATGATATAATAGAAGCTAGACATCTTCAATTCTTCTTATGTGGATTGATCTAAGCTAGTAATAGTCTCCTTTGATGAACTGATTCAAACGTTTGAGCTCTCCATTTTGATGGTCCACAATGGCTCTAACCACATCAACCATAGAGATCAGTCCTACTATCTTCCCGTCAATCACCGGTACATGTCTTATATGATGGTCTACATCATTTTTATAGTAAAACATTAACAATTGTTAAAAATTCAAACAATGACAATTGAAAAGAAAATTTTGGTTTAAGTGGGATCATTGTAGTTACCTGACATAAGCTGCATTGCTTTGATTATGTTTGTTCCAGAAGAAACAGTGATCAAATTACTCTGGCCAAAGTAATTCCCACAAAATCGTTTCACTCGATCAATAAAATTTTCCAAGATATTAACTTAAGAATGTCTATGTTTTAATGATACTAACCTCATCAGTCATAACTTCTCCAACTTTTGTAAGTTTTGATGATCTTCCTGCCCAAATGATCTTTTTCATATAGTCTGTTTTACAATCAAGATTATATCAATATGTACTTTAGATTCAGTTATAAAATTGAAAAAAATAAATAAATACATGTGGACACTCAAAGTTACTGAATCGTTTACCAAAATAGGTATGTGTTTAGGTTATTTATTTTGTTACTGAAATTAACCGAATATTTTGGATTTTTAGTATAAACTCGATTAAATTTGGATCATTTCAGTTAATTCCGAATGTGTTGGTTAATTTTAAAATATAGGTAAATTATATATTTTTGAATTATATCGATAACTTTGGTTAATTTGGTAATCTTCTACCAAACTAAACCAAATGGTTAACTGAACCTAATTTATATGTTGTCTGATCGGTTTACTTGTTATAACCGAGCCCGAATCGATTTACCTCTCTCTGTCACTATGCCTGCAATATTTTGCTGGTCTCCAGGTTTTAAGACAACCAACGATCCAATATTATGCTTTGCCATCTGCTTTTTGTTTGATACCCAAAAAAAAAGAAAAACTATAATTAAGAGAAGAAAAAGTGTATGCATAATGCATGACATACGTTACAAACATATGTCCTTAAATAGCGTTATTATTACATAACATGTCAAACATTGTCTTATTTTAACTGAGACATATACAACGTGTAGTAGTTAATCACTGTTAAAGATTTGTAACCAAACTTAAACATGCTTAATTATTACTAGAGAGATACGTGTATCGGTGTATGCATGTAACGTGATGATTCAATCAAGGAAGGAGTTGGACGAACATTCTTAACCGCGTCAAAGACGGTGTCGTTTGTTCGGCATGACATCCACGTATTGAAGTCTGTCTCCTTTATGGAGAGCACATCCGCCACCGTCAAATTCTCCAACCCTTTCTCCGGCGGCGGAGGCCAAGTTACGCAACCAAACCCGGCCGTTACTTTCCTCTGAATCTTTGGGATTTCATAAGCTCTTGCTAGTAACCCTCTCACAAAAGCTCTCATTCTTTGGAAAATGAATGAACACAGAGACAGAACACAGAAACATGGATTTGGGTTTATGTAATAAAGGAAGGTGATGTGATGGATGACTCATTGCTTCCAAAGATAGACTAAGACATACCTTACCTAAACCAGAAGTTTAATTTGCTTTTAATTAAAAAATTAAGAAGAAATTAATGTTGGATTAGGAAAGATCTGATTGTTTGAGATTGCTCCAAGAGGGAAAGAAAAGTATGTACATTAAAACCACAGAAGCTGCAAAATAGAAGAATATATGATTGATATTTTTGATATGTTTGATTCATTCGCAGACAGGCTTCGTGTCGAAGCTGCTTAAACAAATGGCAAAAGCTTGAAAAGCAGAGATCGGGTAACGATAATCCATAGTGAAAATGTCTTTGCCTATCTTTCCAAATTGTAATATCACTCTCTCTTGTTCTTCTTCTGGGATGTTCATGTTCTTCCCTGCTTCTGCAGCAGCTGCCACTAGCTGGAAGTTTTTCACCGAGGCAACTGTGACTCGACCTTTGAAATTGAGACACCAGCACTGGAGCTGTTCGTGCCATCTCGGAGATTTGTTTTTCAGGACTAATGGTTCTTTAACGACGGATTCTCCTTCTAGGTTCCCTGAGCAAAAATCCATCAGCGGCTTCTTCTTCTTCTTCTTTCCTTGGTTTGTGAACTCGGTAGGATATTGGATTTTGCCGCCTTCTTGAATTGCTGAAATTGGGATACTGTGCATGATACATTGCATTCTTCTTGGACCTCTAGTTCTCAGGACATTCAGCTCGTACAAGATGGAAGCTATGTTGTAATTACTAGATGTTGATGACACCCATGGAGAAACTTGCATTGATGGTGGGAGTTTTCGATTAAACGGAGGAGGTTGGTTTTCGTAGACTGTGAACTTGGTTCCCAGGAAATTGGATCTGTCCACACACAATCAAAACTCATATTAAATGGACATGATGATATAATACATATCAGTGAAGGTGGCGACGAGAAAAAACGAGACTTTACCTCAGTTTTCCTATGTAATTACTGCTACTTCTTGAGAAGTCATTCCCAGACAAGGATACAACAAACTCTGCACCCGTCGCCCTCCTGACTCTCTTTGCGGATAACAACAGCTTACTCTTGTCACCAGAAAGAGCTGCAATCATACAGAGAAAGGAGGGATATAATATAGTCCAAGCTCAATTCATAAGAGGTTCCTAAGGTGTATAGCTAGTAAACTAACCAGGGCTTAAACCGAGATAGAGACGGAATATCCCAGTAGCTCTCTCCCGTTTAATAAAGCATTGAATTGGAGCATCTCTAGGACCAGGCTGAGCAAAAGAAACCAAATTTTTTAGATAACAATGATACATTCAAAAACTTCTCCAATGGGAGTGTTCAAAAGAATGCAAAACTAACCTGCTTTAAAGAAACAGGAAACGTCAACAAACCAGAAACCTCAGGAACCTTAACAACTTCTCTAGTCATCTCCCTCCACGACCTACAAACCGAAGCACAAGCAACGACATCTTTCCTCGCAGGCCAAAGAGTCTGTCCAGACTCAATCCGATGAATAATATCAAGAAGCAACTCCTGAGGCAAATCAACCCAAATGCTCTGACTCAAACCATCATTAGTCACAGAAGAAGAAGAAGACAGAGATGATCCTTCAGGTGCAATATGTGACCTCTTCCCTCTTCTACCAATACCTTTATACTTATTGTTCTTCTTCACCCTAAACTCTCTTACTATATTCTTAAACGACATTGCTAACACACTCCTACACACAAAACAAAAGTATTTGAGCAAACCTAATCAAATTTTAAAATAAAAAAATCCCTAATTTATGAATATATATAAACATACCTGAATTTATCAGCTCCCCCAGAAATTTCTCAGCTTTGTTACTGTAAATGAATAAGCTTTTCAAAAGAAACAGAGATGTCTCAGATTCATTGAATAAAACAAAGTAGCAAACAAATAAAATATATAAAAAAAAATCCCCAATTTCATGAAAAGAGCATGGATCCGTCTTCTCCGGCATTATAATGAAGAGTTCGAGAAAACATTGAGAAACGAGAAAAAGAGAGGATTAATGTACCAACAAAAGCGACAAATCCATGGGGAAGCTCAAAAATTGTAAAATTCAGATTCTTCTTCTTCTTCTTCCGATGAAATTAAAGCTTCTCTTCCCGGAAATGGAGGTTGAATAAGAACCACCACCACCAACCACCTCTCCGATGATGTAATCGTAGCCGCCGTGAGCTTCGATTTTACGGAGAGGAGGGAGGAGGAGGAAGGAAGAGGAAGACGACAGTAACCGCAATAATTTCGAGGAAGAAGATGAAAAAGAGAAGACGGAGAGTTTTTTTATTTTTTTAATTGATTAATTAATTAAAAAGGAAAAAAATAAATAGAAAGACTCTAATAAGCGCGGCTCATGTTTTTTTTTTGTTTTTTTCAATTGAAATTAGTAAATTGCTTAAAATAGGATTATGGAAGAAAATGAAGAACTATTTATTTTGCTAATTAATTTTTTGCTTTGGTTATTATTACAACTGGATTTCTTCAAAAAAATTATTTGAGATTTTGACAAGAATTGGAAACGATTTAATGGATTATTACATTATTTTATAAAAAAAAATCTTATGTAATTTAAAATTGAATTATACATATCTTAGTAAAATACTGAAAACTTGATGTTGACGGGTTTGATTAGAGATCATTTGTAAAGAAGACTGTAAAGATTAAAAGACAACGGTAAATGGAGTCAAATTGCTATTATGATTGTTTTAATTTCTTATTTGCTTTTGTTATTACTATTGACAATTGGATTTTTTCAAAAATGTTTATTAATTGGAAACATATCTGAAATTTTAGACAAATCAATTTTTTGTTCAAAGACTTTATTAAAGGTTATAGAAATTTATGCATTATTTTATAAGAAATTTTTCTAAGGTATTTTAAATTAAATTATACATATAAGTATGTACAAAAAAATTATCTAAATCAACTCAAACAAATTTCTGACAGCTTTTTTCACATCCAATCTATAATACATGTTAATACCAACATGAATCTATTAAAAATTCAAATTTCGAACCTTAATTTAATAAAATCAAGCGATTTCAACATTTTTATGTTGATTGACCTTTAAAACTTAGTTTAATGATATGATGATATTTAGAATCTTACCACTCAATTCAACATACATAATAGCTCTCCTTCTAAGAGGTTTGACTATCAGCCATGAATATTTGATTGTATTTTCTAAAATTATCCCCAACGAATTGTTATAAGGAAACTCCTAGTCGTATGATCGATTATATGATAAACTACATGATCCGATGAAGTTCTTAGTATAATGTTTGAATATTTTTTTTGCTTTACAAATAATATCTAAATGATATGTGTCAACCAATTATTTGCTTTCTTTATTTAATTTTGGATAAAACTCAATATTTAATTTCTCTATTTCTTTTCTTGCTATATCAGAAAAGGTAGAAATTAAGAAAAAAAATTATGTCTTACTAAGGTAATAAAAGTGAACAAACAGTTTTATAATTTTTTGAGAATGATTGTGGGTATAAATGACATATTCCACACTTAGAATGTGTACAAAATATGGACATTTGTAAATATGAGTTCCATGCAACTAAAGATAAAATATATATTTTAAAGACTATATAGTGAAATTATATTATTTAGAAAAGATATACAAAATCAAAGACCACTTCAAGAAAAAAATTGAAAAACATATTCTTACTTTCAATAATTTTAAATTATTCTGTTAAGTCGGTTATAAAATTTTAAATGATTAATTGTCGTATATGCGAAAAACTATTGCTCCAATTTCATCAAAAACATTATATTTCAAATTACATTTGTTAGTTTTGTTTGTTTTTTTTAGTGTTTAAGATTGTATAACTGTATTTTGATTGTTAATTTTAAGACTTAACTTGCAGTATACCGCAAGACAATTTTTTGAAACTATTTTTATATATTTTAAGTTGTATTTTTAATTAATCTTTAAGTATTTATAATTGTACAATTGTATTTTGATTGGTAAATCTATTATTTAACCCGTGGGATACTACATAACAACTGGTTTAATATAATCGCAATTTAATCAAATTAATTAAATATATAAATATTCAAAATAATAAAATAATTTCTTTCATATAACTCATTTTATTTTAGACTAAAATATTTCGTGTGTAAACAACCCATAAGTAAAATATAATAATATTTATGTAAACTCAAACTCACTCAATCATATTTATATAAAATATAATTATATTTTAAACTTTTTAAAGTTAAATATTGATAATACTTAAATTTTTGAGACTTTCATTTTTTATAATATTTTAATCATTCTATAAAAGCTTAATTATTTCTAATATTTGAACCTTTTAAGAGTTTCAAACATTATAATTTTTAGAACATTTTAAAGGTTTTAATTTTCTCAAATAAAAAACCAGATTAAACTGAATAAAACTTTTAGATTAGACGCCTAAGGAATCAAGCTTCCTGCTCATTTTTTCTTTGAAGCATATTAATCCTATACGTAATGGTTTCGTCTAAAGTTTTCTATCTGATGTGGACGTTGTACATAATTTTTTTTTTCTTTATCGATTGAGTAATATACGTCTGTTTTCAAAAATTCAGATTGCAACATATAGGAAAAATTGTATTTTTATCATACATGTGTTTCATATAATAATATAAGTTAAAAAAAAATGAGATCATATACAAACATTTGAGAGATATTTGATTTATTAAGAAAAACTTTTAGGAAATCTTGTTAAATGTAATAAATATTAGTGTTCCAATTTTACGATTTTATTGTGATTTAATTACTTCATTTAAAATTTTTGTTAGTTATTCAAATGGCAAAAGTCTAATTATGTAAATATTACAAAAAAGGTTATAACACAAAATGTTCCCTCCTATTATCTTTCTTAACCAATAAAAATAGAGTATTATGCCACGTCATAACATGTTGATTAAGGAAACAAAATCTGTATACTTTTAATAAAACATGATTAAATATTATTTTAAGGTTTAGATTTTCCAATTAAAACAAAATTATATATCGGTTTGGTTTATAAATAGGGTTTAGGGTTTAGATTTTACAATTTAAACAAAAATATATGTCGGTTTGGGTTTATAAGGTATGGTTAGGGTTTAGATTTTACAATTGAAACAAAAATATATGTCGGTTTGGGTTTATAAGGTATGGTTAGGATTTAAATTTTACAATTAAAACAAAATTATATGTCAGTTTGGGTTTATAAAGGAGTGGTTAGAGTTTAAAGTTTACAATTAAACGAAATTATATATCAGTTTGGGTTTATAAAAGAGAGGTTAGGGTTTAGCTTTTAAAATTAAAACGAAATTATATATCGATTTTGGTTTATAAAATAGAGGTTATATGTATACATATTTTTTTTTGTTTTTATGATTTTAGTTTTAATTTTTTAAAAAATATTGTCTGACATTGCATAATATTCTATTTTTACTGGTTAGAGTAATAAGAGGTGAACAAGAACGTTCATCATATGATAGGGGTGAACTTAAAAATTGCTCTATAGATTTGATGAAATATATTGAGAATATATGGGAAAATGATCTGTTTCCCCCATGAGAACTAATGTATCAATCCAGATAGAGCCCGAACTTTTAACCCAATGTAGATATCCCCCAAAAAAAAAGTTTGAATCCTATTTCCCCCCGAAATAAAAGTTCTAAACCTAATTCCCCCCGAAACCAAAGTTCAAGATCTAATTATCTCCAACTCTTGATTTCTATTGGTTTATTGTTTACTTAACCAAACTAAACTTGTTTTAACTCGATTAAGTTTCAAAATTCTCGAAATTCCCATTAGAATCCATTTCCAAATCCCAAATTTCTCAATCTCTAACTTTGGATTAAACCAATGTAATGATTTATGACAGAAATTTTGAGATTTTCAAAGCTTAATCGGGTTAGATTTTTCATTAGATGGTTAAATAAATAATAAATCAGTGAAAACCCAGAATTGGGAAGAATTAGATCTCGAACTTTGATTTCGGGGGTAATTAAGTTTAGAACTTTTATTTCGGGGAGAAATATGATTCGAACTTTGTTGTCGGGGATATCTACATCGAGGTCAAAGTTTGGGCTCTATCTGGATTGATACGTTAGTTTTTAGGGGGAAATATATCGTTTTTCCGAGAATATATATCCAACTTTAGTTGATTTTTAAGTTAGGAAAATTTTATTGACCTTTCATTTTAATTGTTAACTTTTTTTGAATTTGCCAAAATAGAGGTAGGAATTTGTTTTTTTTTTAAATGCTGATGGAATAGTAGGATTCGAAGTTTCGAACGCCTTACTTCTAACCTTAAAAACACCAATACATTACCAACTGGACTAAAGAAGAAGAAGATTGTTACATCTTTTTTTTATATTTATAGATTAATTTTAATTTTTGTTGCGATCGTTACGTTGAAGAAAAGAACTGGATCTAGCCAATTCTAAGAGACTCTCTCTGTTGTTGTTGTTGTTGTTGTTGTTGCTCAATTCTAAGAGACTCTGTTGTTTCTGGGAAGCTTGTGAAGATTAAAAAGGTCGAAGGGATAAGGTAAAGAAAGAAGGAAGACCATCGTCTTCTAGCTTTGATTATGTCCGTAAATCTATAATTCTCCGAGGACTCGATGAAGGCTTCTCGAGTTTTGACGGCCGCGGCGGCGAGGGTTGGACCGGCGTTAAGGAAGCAAGTGTTAACCTTGACGGACGAAGCTGCTTCTAGGGTTCATCATCTCTTGCAACAGCGTCAAAAACCTTTCTTACGATTAGGCGTGAAGGCTCGTGGCTGCAATGGCTTGTCCTATACCCTTAATTACGCTGGTATGTGCGAGTCTCTTTCAATTTCATTTTCTGGGTTGATATCAAGCTATTGCCTTTGTTGTTGTTTCTCTGACATTTGGGTTGAATCAAGTTTCGATTTTTGATCTTGTGCTGTGTTTTGTTCTTACTTCTCTCAATTTGGAAGCTATAGTAGTACTATACTTTGGTAAATTTGAGATTCTGGAGTGTTTATGATGTGTGTTTGGTGTTTGGCTCATTGATGATTGCTATGTATAAGTTCTATCTAGTTGATTCTGTGGATATTTCTTGTTTTATGAGACAAATTCAGGGACAATATAGATGTAGTTCTCTTAAGGTCTTTAGAATCTTAGATCTTCGCCACTGTTTCGTGAATGGGAAAAGCTTGATGCATTGCTATGTTCTAAGAGCTATCTAGTTTACAGTAAAACATTCAATGGAGTTACCAAGTTTCGATTTTTATTCTAGGGCATTGATTTTTTTGAGTTTGAATCTTGTGCTGTGTTTTGTTCCAAAATCCTCTATTTGATAGCCATTTTGTAAGGAGATATTGATGCTAGACTTTGGTAAAATATGAGTTTCTGGGAATGCTTATGATGTGTGTTTAATAGTGATGAATTTGATTGTTTTGTTTCATCGATGGTTATGTTCTATGTTATAGAGTCCATGTTTCTGTTGGTGTTTCTTGTCTCAGGGTCACTATAGCTGAACATAGGTTCTCGTAAGGTTTCTAGATGTTCGCCGCAGGTTTATATAGTATGCATTGCTCCGTTTCAAGTGCTATCTAGTTTACAGTATAACAGTCTGCGAATGTGTTTTTGTCTTTTAAGAGATGTTCACCTCACACTTGATAGATCCATAAAATCTTGTGCTCTCAAACTTGATTGTTAGATCTGTAACATATTTCTGTCCTCAAACTCGTTGATAAGCGCGTAACATCTTGTTGCTTCATAAATTTTTCATGTCTCAAACTTTTGGTAGTCAGGTTTACTTTGAGTTTTTTGTTCATATCTGTATGATTGAATTTGGCAAAAGTACTAGACTAGCCAACCAAGCTGTGTACATGCGTATCAATATATGCTTCAAGGTGTTAAAATGTACTGAAATCTCAATCTTCATATCAGCTAATGCACAATTTTTCAATATTATCTCTAAAAAATTGTCAAAGTTGTGTGCTGTTGATCGTGTGACTTGATCCTTTGTTTATATACTTTACTTTGTGAGTGCCTGTTTCAGATGAGAAAGCGAAATTTGATGAGCTGGTAGAGGAGAAAGGTGTAAGGATACTTGTTGAACCAAAGGCCTTAATGCATGTGATTGGAACCAAGATGGATTTTGTAGATGATAAACTCAGGTTTGGACATTCTGTCACATTACAAACGCAAAGTCTGGTTTTATACTTCGTCTCGATATATATTGAACCATGTTTTATGTTAATTACAGATCAGAGTTTGTATTCATCAATCCTAACTCCCAAGGACAATGCGGGTGTGGCGAGTCGTTTATGACAACATCTACCTCTAGTGGTAAGCAGAGTGGTGGTAGTTAGCAAACGGTGATACATTGCAAATATGTTACCGAAGACCGAGAGTCCGACGAGCTTCTCAGTTCAAAGATTAGGGTTGGTTTGGTCTAGTCCGTTTCAAGTCTAAGCCTACTGTTGGCTGGAGTTACGGCATTAGATGTTTCAGGTTTCTATTATAGCTTACAGGTTTACACATCCGGCTGGTATGGACTCGAACCAAAAGCAGAACTGTATGTCACAATGAGGTTGTATCAAAATAAGAGTTGTTTAGTTTGGACAAACCTATATGAGCTGACCGAATCAATCAAATGATATCAGAAAGGAACTATATATCAATGTTGATAACAATTTGAAACCAAAGTTTTAAGAGAACAAATTAATGAATATTTGTACAGTATTCCTTATGTTTTGTTTTATAAAATTTAACATATGTAATACTTAAACACACAAAAACTTGAAACATAAGAGCTTAGAGAATTTTAGTATATTTTTATTTATAAATTTAAAATATGTTTGATATTAGTTTAACACGAGGTAAAATTATTTTATATAAGTTTACAACAAATTATATCTGAAATATTGTTGGTTTTCAAAAAAGTTGTGTAGCTATGTTTTGTTAATTTTCAATTGCTTCTAATAATAACTAAGATAAATTTCGATGATAAAATTTTAGCTTTTTCTGAGCTATTATAAAAGTGTATATAATTAAAATTTGGTTTATAATGATAAAACCAAATGTTAAATTGTATTGCAAGATGAGTCATGTTAAAATTGAAATATGATTTACTGATTTATTTATTTATTATTAAATAAGAATTACAATTTAAAAGATATTTGGTCCGATCTTAGATTAATAAATGTCGGTTTGGTTGCGTTTAAAAAAATGTCGGTTTGGTTCACTTCAATTCGGTTTGGTTTATCCTCGCACTCTAAAATATTTTTAGAGGTCAACAAAACAACGAACTCACTTGAGTAAAAAAAAAAAACATTTTTAGCTCCTGAACGCCTCCATAAACCTTCGCATTTCACAGAATCGTGTAATCGGAGAATCACAAACAAAAAAATGGGAACCCTAGGAAGAGCGATTTACACTGTGGGCAACTGGATTCGTGGGACTGGTCAAGCTCTTGATCGTGTTGGTTCTCTTCTTCAAGGAAGCCACCGCATCGAAGAACATCGTAAGCTTCTTCAGATCCTTCCCTTGCTTACGCTCTAGATCCAATTCGTTTCTCTAATTTGCGTCTTCACCAGAAAATTTCCTTTGATTCGAGAAATTTGTGGTTGGATTGAGAAATTTGTGGGTCTCATCGGGTTCGTTTTGATTTTTTTCAGTGTCGAGGCATAGGACGTTGATGAATGTGTTTGATAAATCTCCATTGGTGGATAAGGATGTGTTTGTGGCTCCGGGTGCTTCTGTTATTGGTGATGTTCAGATCGGGAAAGGCTCGTCGATTTGGTATGGGTGTGTTCTTCGAGGTGAGGATTTGATTTTTTTTTCACTAGCCTGAAGAGGTTTTGGTTCTATGTTATTACTCCTGAGAGCCTAGAAATGAAATAGAGAGTCTTAGTGGTGTTTGGTTCAAACGAAGTACCAAGTTTGCAGCACTATACTATGCAACCTCGTGCAGATTAGTCATAGGCTTATAAGTTTAGTCTGCTGTTTGCCTTAACTGTTAGTGTTAAGGATGGTTTCAGTTGTGGGTTGGCTTTTTCATTTGACTAGTTTCAGGAAAGTTCAAAGGCCTTTTGAAGTTTGAATCTTGGATTGCTGCCCTGATCCTTGGTTTTCTTTGAGTGAATTGAAGATGAAATGTGATGAAGTAGCTGGAGACCTTTTTTTATATTGATTTGGGGTTTTAACTTATGCAGGTGATGTGAATAACATTAGTGTTGGATCCGGGACAAATATCCAAGACAATACTCTTGTCCATGTTGCGAAGACCAACATAAGTGGCAAGGTTCTACCTACTCTAATTGGGGACAATGTAACAGTAGGTAAACCTAAAAAATGACTTATCAGTTTATTTAAACCAAGCAAGTCATAGTTGTGTGATTTTTACATGAATGTTCTGTCTCTAAATTATAAAAATAAACCGAGCAGGTCATAGTGCTGTCATACATGGGTGTACTGTTGAGGATGACGCCTTTGTTGGCATGGGAGCTACCCTACTCGACGGTGTGGTGGTTGAGAAACATGCCATGGTTGCTGCTGGTTCTCTTGTGAAACAGAACACGCGAATCCCTTCTGGAGAGGTATCTTTCTGTTTACCTTTTTTTCTGTGGGTCACTACTTCCTACTGGGTTTGCGATAAGACTGGAACCGGAAACTGCTTTATTTCTCTCTGAATAGAAGTTCAACTAGAGAATCAGTGGTCACAAGAACCAAAGATAGACCCCTAGATTTTGTTATCAAGAACATAGAAATGCATTAAATCCGAGGCTAGTTATGAATACCTATCTATAACAAAGGCTTTCCCAGCCGAACTTCTTCAAGTAGACCCACTGTTTCTTTACTATTCAACAAATCATACTGCATTTGTCGAAATCTGAAAACCACCTTGGCTCTGTTGCAAATCAGGAGTAATAGAGGGTTCATGTATTTTCATTTCTCTATGATGATATAACCGGATTTCTTATTTTGCTATTCTTGTGAACAACTCTCTTCAACCCATGAGTTGAGAATATATTTACAAGGACATATCTAATGGTTTAATGTGACAGGTGTGGGGAGGAAATCCAGCAAAGTTCATGAGAAAGTTAACAGATGAAGAGGTAGAATATATCTCACAGTCAGCAAAAAACTACATCAATCTCGCACAGATTCATGCCTCAGAGAATTCAAAGTCATTTGATCAGATCGAGGTTGAGAGGGCGCTTAGGAAGAAGTATGCACGCAAGGACGAGGATTATGATTCAATGCTTGGGATTACTCGTGAAATTCCAGCCGAGTTGATTCTTCCCGACAATGTGTTACCTGGTGGTAAACCCGCCCCCAAGGTCCCGACTACTCAGTACTTCTAATTCCAATCTCAGGTTGTTTTTGTGTGTTAAAATCATTTCAAGACAGGATTGATTCTCTGGAAGGTCGAGAGAGATATTATTTTGATTTTCACTTTTCTTCCGAGCAAGCAGGGGATTTATCATCCTTGCTCAATAATGTATGGTTGCATTATGATAAAGTCATTTCTTCGAGGAACAATTGCAAAAAGAGAAACAAAGTTGCCTTCATCACTCTTTTTTTTTGCTCTCTCTCACTGTTCTTCCCTTTTCAACAATTAAAGATAATCATATTAAGTCTTCAAAAGGGTCTCTGTTTGAAACTTCTCTAAGTTTGGAGTTAGTGTGTGAAAAAAAGCTACACACAGGGAGAAGTGACACTTAATAATTCATTTATCCTAAACGTCTCATTGTAATTCGAGTTAAATGGACTCATGTCCCATGCTAGTTATAAAACGAGTAAAAACCAAATACTTAAAAGTGACTTGGAACTTTGATACCAAAGAACTAAACAAGAGAAAATTGTAACCCCTTAAGTTGATTTTTATTTCTCAGTAGCTCACATTTCCATTGGTGCAACATCTTGATCACCTGAACCACCTTGTTCCCCAGTTCCAGCAGCACCAGGAGCAGCCTCCGGTTCGGCCTCACCCTCACCAGCATCTTCCTCTTCCTCAGGAACCTTCTCAAACGTGTCAATCACCTTTTGTATGGTTTCCTGGTCCAAGAAATGGAATGGTTCATCGACTCCTAGAACAGAAACAGTGCAGATCGAGCTCTTTAGTGTTTCCCCTTGCAAAGTTTCCCTTATGGCCATAATAGCATCTTTTATCAGATCTTCTCTTGATGATTCTTGGAAGCTCTCGAATCTTCGTTCCAAATAGGTTTTCGCGGCTTGTGAACGTGACCCGATAGCAAATGCTTGATATTCGAAGTAGTTTCCGCTAGGGCAGTTGTAGTAGAGGTGGGCTCCTGACTCGTCCAATCCACCTACCAGTAAACCAACACCATACGGCCGTTTCCATGACCGTTGGGTGCATACCTGTTCAAAAAAAAGTTTGAGGTGGGTAAGACAAATGGGTTCCCTAATGAATAAATTCGGACTGTGTTCAAAGTTCAAGACTGATATATGAGGGTTCTTCTCAGAAATCTGGCAATACAGCACCTAACTATATGTATAACAGACATGAAAATTACTAGGACGTAGCAAGCAAAACCCTTTTGAAATTGAGAACACTACGTTAGATGCCATTAAGGAATGGTTCATCAGGCAAGTGAAGAGACACTACAAGTAAAAGAGATCAACAAAGCGGACAATGCCAACAGAAACAACTAATACAACCTAAGGAGAAAACCAGCACATTCAGAGTTCTATCGACAAAGAAGATAATTCAATGATACCAACCAGAAACAACTAATACAACTAAAGGAACACAACAGGACATTCTAAGGCATCCTCTTAGTATATGTCAGCACTTTGTACTCGGATTAAGCAGCTGGAACAAAGCTTTTGGTAATCTAAGAGGCTAAAACTAGTAAGAGAACTAGAAATGACTCAAGAAGTTCTAATCCAATCATCAAAACTAGGGTATCACTACTTACATTACACATACACATTTCACCGATCATATTAACTACATTGCTAAAAAAAACCAAACCTTTACTCCAATTTGAGAAAAGCTTCAAACTTTCACATAAGTTAGTGAATCCTAGGTCAAAATCAAGTATATCACAGATTACGAACCCCAAAACAGCTTTCACCCAAAATCTCAATTTACCTGAGCTTTATCAGCAAGACGAACAACAAGACGACCAACGGGAAGAGGAGACTCATAAGTAAAAGAGTGATTAATAGACTCAGATCTCATATAACGAGAGAGAACACGACCATCAGCAGTAAGACCAGCAATAGCAACACCGATATGATCATCTACTTTGAAGATCTTTCTCTGATGAGAAGAAAGCTCAGATTGAGCTTTGTTGACACAAGCGAGGACGACATGTGAGCGAGATCTGAGTCCAATTGCGGCTGAGCCTTGCTTCACTGCTTCCATGGCGTACTCTACTTGGAACAGCCGACCTGTGGGACTCCATGTTGTCACATCTGTGTCGTACTGGTTCCTGAACATCTCTTCCTTAAGCTTCTTCTGATTTGCTTCGTCGTCTTCTTCGTTAGAAGCTTTTCGTTTCCTTCAAGCTACAGAGGATGGCATTGGTCTCTCTCTTTAGAAGAAGTAAAATCAAAATGGGCTTTAAAAACTCAATGGACTTATTGGGTTTAACATCCACCTCCTATATATTAATTTATACAATTGTAAAAAAGGTTATTGTATTGTATATTTTTATGTATAATTAATAAATAACCTTTATTGATTTTTTATTTCCAACTAAAGGTTTAGAAATCAATTTTAAAATTTCACCAAAAAAAAAAAAATCAATTTTAAAATATTGTAGTTATCAAGAAGTTTTATATTTACAGTCATTTTTATCCGGTTTGGTAGTTCAAGAATTTTATATAAATCTAGCTTATCACTAGTTCAGTTCACACTTGATAAAGGCCCGCTATCATATCAATCCAAAATTATAGTGAAACGATTATCATTTCAAACATAAACTTGATTAAAGAAAAACATATAAGTTTAAGTTGTAATGTTATATCAAATTAAATATATCTAAAGATTAAATTTTGTATTTGCATGGGAGTCTGAATCTTTTACATATTTTCTTATTTGTTGGATTAAAATTTACAATCTCAAATGGAGATTGGTAGGCTAACCGGTTGATAGAAGAGGTAGGTTCTACAAAAATTTTGGCAGTCGAGCTAAGTACGTGTCATATATTGAATACGTGAAACCAATATATTAGTAATTAAAAATATGGTCAAATTTTAAAAACCTAAAATTCTCCATATTGTAACACGGAATACTATCTAATATTGATTGAAAGAAAAAGAATAGAGTTTTCAAATCATTTAGAGATTAGACACATAAATAAAACTACGAACCGTAAACTCATAAATTTTTAACCGTATAATTTATCGTTCGTCGCAGTATTAACCTGCAACCGCCAAACGAACAACAATATGTGTTTGTTGCAGCCACAACTATACAAATGGTTCTAAAATAAAGTATAAAAAACATACATTACTCAAAAAAGCTTTATGAATTCATCAAATGGTGACAATACTATGACAACACTAATACAAAAAAACCACTAAAACTAAGTTGTTGTCGTCACATAAACTTAAAGACGTATCCTTTAATCACAAAATTTCATAGCCAAATTAATAACATAAAGTTTTCTTCTTTTTTATTTATTATGAGCATTAATAATAATAATAAAAAAGTTGAATAATTTGGCACGAAAAGATATACGAAAAAGAAACGCATTAATTTTTATTTTTTCCTAAAAAGCATTTTGTCACATAAGAATGCCTCAGTGTGATTTGCAGCAGCAACAACCTGTTTTATCCCTCCACGACGAAACTACGACGACGGCCACCACCACCACCACCACCACCGACAGAATATTCCGATCTCCTTCTCTTCCACAATGGAAAACGACGTGAAGGTCGTCGACGAGAAGGTTGAAGAAGCTGACCGTCTTCTTCCTCATCAATCTCATAACCCTTCGAACTCCGACGATTCCGAATCCGAAGCCGCTTACGAATCAAACGAAAAGATCCTGATCGTCGATTCCGAATCTCCCGACGATCCGACCACCGGAGACTCCGCACCGCCGTTCTCGTGGCGGAAGCTGTGGCTGTTCACGGGACCTGGGTTTCTGATGAGTATAGCGTTTTTGGATCCGGGGAATCTAGAAGGAGATCTACAAGCTGGTGCCGTGGCTGGGTATTCTCTGTTATGGCTTTTAATGTGGGCTACGGCTATGGGTTTGTTGATTCAGATGTTGTCAGCTAGAGTCGGTGTTGCTACTGGTCGTCATTTAGCTGAGCTTTGCCGTGATGAGTATCCGACTTGGGCTAGGTATGTGCTTTGGTCTATGGCGGAGCTTGCTTTGATTGGAGCTGATATACAAGAGGTTATTGGTAGTGCTATTGCTATTCAGATTCTTAGCCGTGGTGTCTTGCCTCTTTGGGCTGGTGTTGTCATTACGGCATCGGATTGGTGAGTCTCTCTTCTTTTTGAATTCGTATCATTAGTTTGAGATTTTATGATCAGTTTGAAATTGAGAAATTTGATGTTCTTTTGGTTCTTTTCTTGTAGAAGATGATCTGAATTCGAAACGTTTAGTTCGGGTTTGGATCATATTCAAACTCATAATTTAGTAGAAACTTGGTTTAGAGATCTCTATGATTCAATTTGAAATTGAGAAGTTTGTTTTTTCTTTGGCTCTTTTCTTGAAAAACTTAGGCTAAGATGATATGAATTTGAAAGATTTGGATTATCATAGAGATTTGTGATTGAAATCTGAAATCTTGAAAATTTTGGCTAATGAATCTGTTGCAAACAGTTTTTTATTTTTGTTTCTAGAGAATTACGGAGTGAGGAAGTTAGAAGCTGTTTTTGCAGTTTTGATCGCAACAATGGGTTTGTCCTTTGCTTGGATGTTTGGTGAAACCAAGCCGAGTGGAAAAGAACTTATGATAGGTAAAGCTTTCAGATTCTTTAGTTCCTGGTTTACTTTAATCTGCTTTGGTTTGACTGTTTAAAGATCCAATCTTTGTGTTTATGGACAGGTATTTTACTCCCGAGACTTAGCTCAAAGACAATTAGGCAAGCTGTAGGTGTTGTTGGCTGTGTCATAATGCCTCACAATGTGTTTTTGCATTCGGCTCTTGTACAATCTAGGAAAATCGATCCGAAGAGGAAGTCCCGGGTTCAAGAGGCGCTTAATTACTATTTGATCGAGTCATCAGTCGCCCTTTTCATTTCTTTCATGATTAACTTGTTTGTGACGACTGTCTTTGCAAAGGGGTTTTATGGAACCGATAAAGCTAATAATATTGGCCTAGTTAATGCGGGTCAGTATCTTCAAGAGAAGTTTGGTGGTGGACTTCTCCCGATTCTCTATATCTGGGGAATCGGGTTGTTAGCAGCCGGACAAAGCAGTACTATAACTGGTACATATGCTGGACAGTTTATAATGGGCGGTTTTCTGAATCTCCGGCTTAAGAAATGGATGAGGGCAGTAATAACAAGAAGCTGTGCTATAGTGCCAACTATGATTGTGGCAATTGTGTTCAACACTTCCGAAGCTTCCTTGGATGTTTTGAATGAATGGCTCAATGTCCTTCAGTCTGTACAAATTCCTTTTGCTCTTCTCCCTCTTTTAACCTTGGTATCCAAAGAAGAAATTATGGGAGACTTCAAGATTGGCCCTATCCTCCAGGTTAATTTCCACCTTTTTTACTAATTGCTCTGAGTTTCTCACTTGTTTATGCTCCTCCATTGGAATCAATAGGTGAAATAGTATAGTCTCCAATTTTTAGGGTGCCTCTGTTTTACTTGTGCTATTATCTTAGTATTTTATTTAGAATCGAAGTCCTTGAATGGAACAGAGAAGCATTATGAGTTGTTGAAGCTAGGTTTGATTGGATTTATATTTATCTTGCAGAGAATAGCTTGGACTGTGGCCGCCCTTGTAATGATCATCAACGGGTATCTTCTGTTGGATTTCTTCGTATCAGAAGTCGACGGGTTTTTGTTTGGAGTTTCGGTCTGCGTTTGGACAACTGCTTATATCGCCTTTATAGTCTACCTCATCTCACACAGCAACTTTTTTCCTTCACCTTGGTCTTCCTCGTCCATAGAACTTCCCAAAAGAGTGTCCATCTCTGATAGTTAGCTGCATAAATATAACAACCCTCAAAACCATTTGTTACACGGTTCAAGATACGGTAAACAACTTTACCTTTCTATACATATCAAAATGCCAAAAGTGATGATAAGAGTTTATTTAGTATAGCTTTTGTGAATGCGACATCACAAATGTGTAGTGGCAAAGTCTTTGTTGTACTTTTTTTTTCTTTTTTTTGGTTAAGAGGATGTGCACATTCCAATATAATTGAAAGAGGCTTTTACATGATTACATCATAAAAACAAAAGCAGAAAGCGAATCAATCAAAGCTAATAATAACCACTGAAAATATTGGCCAAGCCAACTAACGTTAGCAAAAAAAAAATCATTGAAGACAAGTTAAAAGAGATTACTCAATACTAATCTGCATCTGCCATTCTAATAACAGATATATACAACACAAAACTCAGGTACTTGCAATTTCCAAACACAATAAGCTTCATGCTTCTTTTTACGCCTTTCCTCTAATGGTAATATCTTCAAAGAATGCAAGAGGTAGCTCCGGTGAAACAGGCATGGTCGCGACGCACTTGTACTGTAAAACCAATAGAATCAGACATTAACACATCTAGAAAATGTAGTTGCAACATATTACAAAGTTGTTGTTATATCATACCTTATGTTGCTTGTATTTATTTCTAACAGCTTCTAGAGTGTTTCCTCTTCTGCTTAGATACAAGTCATGTATGATACTAACACATAGTTGCAGATCAGATGCTTTGTACTTTGTGTATTCTTCTAACATTTGATTCTGTTTTTACAACACCAGAAGAGATTTAGAAATATGAAGAACTTTTATTTTTTGGTAAAAGAAACAGTCGTGGTTCTTGGTTTGCTTACCCAAGGATGTTGTTTTGGACGGATGATGAATCGGGCAAGAAAGACAGCCGAAGCAGCCAAAAGAGACGGCAAATACTTCACACATGTGTAATCTAGCATACTCAATTCTGATAGATAGCAACAAAGGAACTCTATCTGCAATTGTGAGTCCTGAAAAGAAGGCAAGGAAAAGTAGAAGATTTAACAATCTGACACTTTATATAAGTTGCATAAATCACAACAGTGCAAAGGTAGATGGGTTTTAGCTTACATTGAAATCTTCTTGTGCAACCCTTGTAAACCGTCTGCACAAACCCGACATTAAGAGCAAAACAATCAGAATGAGGACAAGTAAAACAATGAAATAATAAGTGACTATCAAAAACATACAATCAAAATCATGTACAAAACACCAGATAAATTTATCACAGAGTCGAACCTTAGGAATGTTTTGATGGTTGGACTTCCTAATTCAAACTGCAAAGCAAGAAGTATATCTGCCTCCATCGACACCACATCTGGTTTTGTAAATGTATTATCCGTGATGTAACAAAAATCTTCCACTTTAGGAGGACCAATCTCTTCATATTTCCTACTTTTTTAAAAGCAAAATAAAGATTCCATCAGCCAACCATGTAAGCACCTTCAGACCAAAAACAATACGCAAAAAGAGGATTAAGATGCTTACGACGCAATAAGCATTGCAGAAACCCCCACAAGCTGAAGCTTCTGTCTATTAATAGGCTTCACAGACAAGAATCTATCAATATAGGATACACTGAGATAAAGTGTATCCGAGACGAGTTTATATTCCTCAGCAACCTCCACTAACCAATCCACCAAAACCGCTCTCATATGAGGTGTTAGATCATTTTGAACCTTTTCAATATAATCAGGTAGAGGTCTATGTTTTGGCTTCCCCTGAATTTCACCAATCCAAAAACACAATAATCGTTAGTCCCTAAGTATCATCAGTCCCTAAAATTCTCCAAACATATCATAAGAGCAAGGGCTGAGATTGGAAAAAAAATCGAAACTTTAATCAAACCCATGATTGCAAGTTGCAACAAGTCAACATCAAAGTCCAAACACAGTAAACAATTCCCAAAATGACATAAACCCGAAACCAAAAATTTCAACTCTTTCCACATCAAATCAATAATACTCACTAAGATCAAAACAAGCACTAAAATGGACTAATCGAGAAATCTACTAAAGATGTTTATATTACCTCCATTTCACGAAGATACGCACAAATATCATTCGCAAAAGGCTCACACATCTGAGGATCAACAGATCTCGATTCAATCTCTTGACTAGCTTCAGGAACCACCACCGGAGCTAAAGGAACCATCAAAGCCTTCTTCTTCATCTGCTTCTTCGCCGCGGGGTTAACACTTACTTTAGCCTTAAGGGCTTCTCTTTCTTGATTGGGTTTCACCGGAACAGCAACGACATTGGACATATTCGGAAGCTCTCCGAGCACAACTCTCTTCTTGGTAACTTGGTCTTCGTCCACCGCCATGGACGACGCTTTACGTTTCGCCGCCGCCCTCGTCATCCTCGTACAGTTCTGATTCTCCGCCATGGGTTTAGTTTTTTTCAATGGGAAAGAGAGATTTGAGAGAAGGGGTAATGTAGAAGAGAGGTAAAAGGAAATGGGTAGAGTAAAAGCGCCATTTTTGTTGGGGAAGTTTTGAGATTTTTAGGTCATGGCGCTTCGACTGTGTAAAAAAATTTCGATTTCGAATTTTAGGGATTTGACTTTGAGTATCCAAATTTTGGGGCTTTTTTTTCTGCAGATTTCGTTTATTTCCACATTTATTTGACGGCTGTTTGGTCTTTTTTACCCTTCTAAAGGTTTCACTCCTATACTGTATTTGTTTTTAGACAATCATCATTATTTTTTCACTTCATAGAAAATTTTCATTTTCAATCAATAAAATATTATTTTCTATAAATTTATGTAATTTTTCATGGAATTTTGTTAATTCTTTTGGTATAGACAATCATTTATAATGTAAATTATTTATTGAAAAAAAATATATTGACTTTGGAAAAAACTCACAGACACAAGTTTCGAGAAATTTAGAAAAAATTCGTAAGTTTCTTCTTTGTTTTCGTTCTTCTACCTGTGTGTAACTGATTTTTAGTCAAGTTTCCGATTCCTTTTTGGCTTTTGCTCATCCCTATTCACTGATTCTTTATCAACTCCTCATGGCATTGGCTTTAGGTGTTGTAAGTAACTTCGACCTTGAGCTCACCTTTGATGAAAAATATATACTAAAGATCTAGTCTTCTTATTCTTATGTCTTACTAAGCAATATACTAAAGACTCCATCAAAAATCTAAATATGTTCTCATATAATCATGTAATGTCTTAGGGATCAAAAGGTAATATGTAAGAAACCTCATCAAAAATCAAAATAACCATATATGATCAAACACAAGTCTTCCAAATAGTTTTTTCCCAAAAAAAAAAAAAAAGTGTTCACTTGTAGAAATTTCCATTTTAACGACTTGAATAAATAAATAAAAAATCTCTCTTCGCTTTTTCTCTGCTTTGAATCTATCTCTTCGACTTGAATACTTGGTTTTGTCAAGTATTCAAGTTTTTGAATCTAATCGGTTTTCTAGTACACCAAGAAAGTGAATTACCAACAATGCATAGAAATTATCATTTTCTAGTTCACAAGTTTCTATAGTTTCATAGATTATACCCATGGATGCTCAACGCTTAATCAATATCAAATACTGTCATATGACACATATAATCGAAAGAAATATAATTTAGTCCAAAGGGTAACACACTACTAAGTTGTAAATAAACTCATAATTAGCTAACATGCTTACCATTCAACTGTTGATTCACAACACATGCCTTCACTTTAATAATAGATCTTGACTCCTCTAGCTTCAACTGTTGAGTTCGTTGTCCCTTAATACTACTAAACCCGTGACATTCGCCAAATCAAATGGTAACATCCGTCCAAAAGGTGACCGGCAGCTCAGGTGAAACAGGCATGGTCGCAACACAATGAAACTGTACCAAAAGAAAAGTAACATTTAAGTATGAAGAATACTATCATTTCATAAATTGTAATGTTAATTACCTCAGGCTGCTTGTATTTCTTTCTAACAGCTTGTAGAGTACCTCCTCTTCTACTCAGATACAAGTCATGTATGATTCCCACACACTCTTGTAGATCAGTAGCTTTGTACTTTGTGTATTCTTTTAACATTTGGTTCTGTTTTATAACTATAGATTAGTTATGTTTTCATATTAACCTATTAAGAGATTTGAGATATAAATTCTTACCCAAGGATGTAGTTCGGGACGGATGATGAATCTAGCGAGAAAGACAGCAGAAGCAGCCAACAAAGATGGCATAAAATTCAGAGTTATGTAATAATCTAGTATAGTCAATTCTGATAAATAGCAACAGAGCGACTCGAGCTTTAATTGCGGTACTTTGAAATCTTCTTGTGCAACTTTTATCAACCGTCTGCACAAGCCAAACAATAACAAGGGTCAAAAACACACAAATCAAGACAATGAATCAAACATTGTTATCATCATCATCACAAATCTAACCTCAGAAACGTATTGATGGTAGGGCTTTCTAGTTCAAACGGAAGCGCGAGAAGTATCTCTCTTTCCATCTTCAAAACATCTTGTATTGTATAAGCATTAGCCGTAATGTAACACAAATCTTCCACATTAGGAGGCCTTGATACTAATCATATCAAATGTCAAAAAGAAAAATTAAGAATATCAAAGAGTAGTAGTAAGTAATATACAAGAAGATCAAAGATGCTTACGAAGCAATAAGCATAGCAGAAACTCCCACAAGCTGAAGCTTTTGCTTCTTAATAGTCTTCATAGACAAGAATCTATCGATGTGTGAGATAGTGAGATAAAGTGTTTCAGATCCAAGTTTGTACTCTTCAGCAACTTCAACTAACCAATCAACCAAAGCCCCTCTCGTGGCTGGTGTTACGTCATTCTGAACCATTTCCATATAATTTGGTAATGGTCTTTGATTCTGCTTCACCTTATACTTCATCAAATCCAATAACCAAACAGATCAAAATTTTCACGAAATTGCACTAGTCAGTGTCAATCTTTGAGTCCAAAAAGAGAATTATTACCTCCATCTCACGGAGATGCTCGTACATGGATCCAACATAGGGTCCAGGATCGTCAGATCGAGAAAGTTGATCCAACTTCTTAACCATCTCTTGGAGTTGGATAATATAGCGATGAACCATTGATTTGTGGTCTTCTAGTATCCCAAGTAACCTTATGTGGAAGCTCCACCCAATCTACCGTTTGTGCATCTTGACGCTGCCTTTGTGTGTTACCCTTGGCATCGATCTCATATTCCTTCTTAGGCTGCAGCATATCTGCTTAGTGAACAACAACAAATCCTCTAAGCTCTTTGGTATCCACCGTTTTTGCTTTCTCAAAGGAACTCCTTATATATAGGGTAGACTCTATCGCAAAAGAAAAGGGTTTTACCAAACCCTAAAGCGATAACTTGTTTAACAAGAAAGCCTGAAAGGCTCATGGGTTTCATAAGTACACCAAGAGGTTTGATTACCAACAGTTTTCTGAATATTCAATTTTAATTTCTTTCAAATTTCCTGATAAATGATACAGACTCATGGATTTCCTAGTACAATGTTATGAGTCACAATGCTTAAATACATTGAACAAAAAAAAATCATGTCACAGAAATACGTTTATCATATATATTGCATAATCTTATAAATTATATATTGCATAATGTCTTCTCCTGATGAATGGCCGGCTTTCTCTACGTAATTGGAGGATATAATTAAAAGTTGACATAGAAGAATTCTCATCATTTTCACTATTTGGCACGCAAAGGTAGTGTCAGTTCGCAAGCTATTAAAATTGTAAACAATATTCCGTTAGATTGGCTCATTTGAGTTAATTTATTAGTATGATATTGACAACAAAAAAGTTATAAATTATATATCAAGTTACAGACTAATTAATTATGTAAACGAAATGAGATTTGAATAACACAAATTTGCTCAAGCCTTAAACTTCTATAGTTTCCACTCCTCTAACTTCACCTCTTTATCTGTTAATGTGACTTGTGCCTTACAGTATTTGTCACGATTAATCGAGCTCAGTAGCATTAGTGATAGATTACAAAACCTTGTCAAGAGAAAGACAAGTTCAGATCAAATTAATGGTAATTAACACATCCTCCCAAAAAGGTTCTTTGGCAGCAATGGTGATACCAACATGGTCGCAACACAATAAAACTGTACCAAAAAGATAAAAGCAACATTATAAGTAAAAAAGATATGCTACTAATTAATTAGTTCAAATGTAATCATTAACTGTAATGTATAACGTTAATTACCTCAGGCTGCTTGTATTTCTTTCTAATAGTTTGTAGAGTACCTCCTCTTCTGCTCAGATACAACTCATGTAAGATTCCAACACACTCTTGTAGATCAGCTCCTCTGTACTTTGTGTATTCTTTTAACATTTGATTCTGTAATTTTTACAATAACCATAGATTCTTGTTACTGTTCTCTTTCAAAAAGACTGATCACTCAACATATATATTAACCAGGAAGTGATTGTGACTTCTTACCCAAGGATGTTGTTCGGGCCGGATGATGTATCGAGCGAGAAAGACAGCAGAAGCAGCCAACAAAGATGGAACAAACTTCACGCAGCTATAATCTAACATACTCAGTTCTGATAGATAGCAACAAAGAGGCTCTAGCTGAAAGTGTGGCACTTTGAAATCTTCTTGTGCAACCCTTATGAACCGTCTGCACAAAGAAACATACACACACATGAGAACAATGAACCACAAGGTACTACCAAATCATCAGTAGTTATCAATAAGCACAATTCTAACCTTAGAAAAGTATTAATCGTTGGTCTTCCTAATTCAAACTGAAGCGTAAGAAGTATATCTTCTTCCATCTTCAACACATCTTGTTTCGTATAAGCATTAGCCATAATGTAGCAAAAATCTACAACTTTAGGACGCCTTTTCTCTTCATACTTCCTGTTTTGTTTTATATCAAAAGCCAAAAGAAGAAGAAACTTTATTAGCTTCAAGAAGACACTAACACAAGAGGAAGATCAAAGATGCTTACGTAGCGAGAAGCATCGCGGAGACAGCCACGAGCAGAAGCCTTTGCGTGTTGACAGTCTTCCTAGACAAGAATCTATCGATGTTTGAGACAGTGAGATAGAGTGTTTCAGACTCCAGCTTGTACTTTGCAGCTACTTCTACTAACCAGTCTATCAAAACACCTCTCGTGCTTGGTGTTACATCTTCTTGAACCTTTTCCATATAATCATGTAAAGGTCTTAGCTTTGGCTTCACCTATATTTTCATCAAATCGAAAAAAAAAACTTTAGAAACAAATCCACAAATAAGATTAAACTAGTCAATGTTCTAAGTCCAAAAGAGAGAACAATCTTAAAAACTATTCCTATCAAACTCACTAACTTGACCTATTAAACCTAGTCAATGTTCTAAGTCCTAACAGAGACCAATCTTAGAGACTATTCAGACCAAAATCACTAAACTAACCTAATGAAACTAGTCGATTTGGTAAGTCCAAACACAGAGAAAGTAATAAGACATTCAGAGATCATTACCTCCAATTCACGGAGATACGCATAGATATCTGAGACATAGTCTCCACACATCTGTGGATCATCAGATCTAGCGTCAATGTCAGAGCCTAACTGAATGTTATCTTGCGGTGCAAGTAACCTATGTCGAAGCTTGTCACACTCTGCCGTGGAAGCATCACGACGATGTCCTTGAGCGTTGTCGTAGGCATGGATCTGTTTAACCTTCTTAGCCAACATATTTGTCGAAGAACAAATTCTACAAAGAACAACAAGAAATCATAAACGAACTCTCTATTTGTTTATAGAGTAGACACTTTCCTGAAAGAAAATAAGGACTCACGGCGTAAATAAACAAAAAGAAATCGGGAAAATTTCCAAACTAAACTAGACTTATTTAATATTTGTCAGCAAATTATATAAATTTTTTTCTTTGTGATATAAATACTCACAATAATTTATAGATGATAAAAAATATACGAACTATTCTTTGATTTTCCACATATTTAGTCACTATTTTCAACATTAACACAATAGTAAACATTGTTACTATTAAAATTTCATGAAAATTTTCACTATTGCCGTAGCCATAATCATAACAAATTCTCTTCTTTTCGATATTTTAGCTTTATTTTCGATTTTTGTTTTCTCATCGTTAAGCTTTTGTTATGATTAGAAACTTAGAAAAAAGAAACAAAAAAGGGGAAAACTTAGAGTATTGTGGTCAATCCCGTCACTCATACTTTTGAAAGTGTAAAGGCCCAATATGAAATTACGATGGGCACTTTTAACTTTCCCTAAATGTAACTATCAACTAAGTGGCACATACAAGCCAGTTTGGTTATATAATGAGTACTTAAGCGATAACCAAAACTTTACCACTTGCTAAGTTTTTGATTTTGCAACCAACGCTTGGAGGTACGTTGTCCCTGCGTCTCCTCATCTAATTCTTAGCACACAAGCAGTTTTGGAGAAGGACAAGTTATTGTTATATGATCATAACCATGAACATGTATTCATATTACATGATCCCAATACCAAATCTTTTGATCTTGCTACCATATATTTACCCAATGGAGGTGTTATTTGTTATTTCCCGAGTTTAATCTCTATTATGTAAACTTGATTACTAATGTCAAACAACAGCTTTAGTCTTAAGCAACTTTCATCAGTTGTATATCATAGAAGGCTCAATGCTTAAGGCAAACGTATAAAATTATGTCACATAAATATGCATATCATATTGCATAATTGTATAAAATTATTCTGAGTTACATACTAAACAAAATGAGATTTGAATAACACATCACAACATCTTCATATAACACAAACTTATTTGCTTCTGCCTTCACTTCTATAGTTCTTACTCATCTAGCTTCACTTGTTGATCTTTGTGCCTTATACTACTTGACACAAGATTTGGTAATCAAGCTCAGTAACATTAGCCAACGACAGAAAGATTGGTTCAGATCAAATGGTAACATCCTCCCAAAAGGTAACTGGCAGCTCTGGTGATACAGGCATGGTCGCAACGGATTGAAACTGTAACAAGAGAAGCAACATTTAAGTATCACAGCAACGATGCTAATTCGACAGTAAGTGTTTAATCATTGTAATGTTAAGTACCTTATGGTGCTTGTATTTCTCCCTAATAGCTTGTAAAGCTCCTCCTCTTCTGCTCAGATACAAGTCATGTATGATTCCAACACACACTTGTAGATCAGCCGCTTTGTACTTTGTGTAATCTTCTAGCATTTGGTTCTGTTTACATCATCACAACCATATATTATTAGTGTCTCATTAAAGAATGCTCCAACATTTGAACCTGTAAGAGACTGAGACAAAAATGCTTACCCAAGGATGTTGTTTGGGACGGATGATGAATCGAGCGAGAAAAACAGCAGAAGCAGCCAACATAGATGGCAAAAACTTCACAGCTTTGTAATCTAATATGCTCAACTCTGAAAGATAGCAACAGAGAGGCTCTAGCTGCAAGTTTGCAACTTTGAAATCTTCTTGTGCAACCCTTGTGAACCGTCTGCAGAACAAACACACACAAACAAAATCAGGACAATGAACCAGACAAACCAATAACTACAATCACCAACCAAACACATTGTTTCATCACAATCCTAACCTCATAAACGTATTGATCGTAGGCCTTCCCAATTCAAACTGAAGCGCAAGAAGTATATCAGCTTCCATCTTCACCACATCTTGTTTCGAAAACGTATTATCGGTAATGTAACAAAAGTCTTCAACTTTAGGAGGACTTATCTCTTCATACTTCCTATAAGTTCCATTACAAACTCACATAAGCTTCCATTTACAAAGACAATGAGAATAACACCACAAAGGGAAGATCAAAAGACACTTACGAAGCAATAAGCATAGCAGAAACTCCCACAAGCTGAAGCCTTTGCTTCTTAACAGTCTTCAAAGACAAGAATCTATCAATGTGTGAAACAGTGAGATAAAGTGTTTCAGATCCAAGTTTGTACTCTTCAGCAACTTCAACTAACCAATCCACCAAAACCCCTCTCATGCTTGCTGTCACATCTTTCTGAACCTTTTCTATATAATCAGGTAAAGGTCTTTGCTTTGGCTTCATCTGAAAATTTCACAAATCCAATTTCAAAACTATTCAGATCCAAATCCCTCAAACTTAAACAATCATCAATCCCTAAGTTGAAAACTCTTAAAGACCAAATCAAAAACTTCAAAATTGAAACTTTTCCAATGTTCAAACTAAATCCAACTTTTCCAAAATTGAAACTTTTCCAATGTTCTAAATCCAAACACAGAGCAATAAAGCTAAGATTTTTATTACCTCCAAGTCACGAAGATACTGGTAGATGTCTCCGACATAAGGACCACACATTTGAGGATCATCAGATCTTGAATCAATGTCAGATTGTGATGATTCTAGGTCAATAACCACCGGAGCTGTCTTAATCTGCTTCACCGGAGCTTTAAGACTCTTTTTTGGCTTCTGGGTTTCTCTAATCTGACTGAGATTAGCCAAGACATTGACATTGGAGACATTAAGAAGCTCGCCAAGGACAACTCTCTTCTTGTTGACCCGATCTTCATCTACACAAAGAGAAGCTTTTCTCTTCGCCGCGGCTCTCGTAACTCTCACACAGATCTCTTTCTCCGTCATGGTTGAGATGGGTTTGAGGAGATGAGAGAGGAGGAAGAGAGAGGAAGAGATTGAGATTGAGATTGAGAGATTGAGATCGGATGAGTGAAAGAAGTGAAGGGGAGAAGGGAGAAGAAAAAGGCGAGAACAAAAGCGCCATTTTTTCTGAAGTTTTTTTGGAGGTGGCGCTCTGTTTTCTGTGTTTTTGAGATTTTTTGAGAGTCAAAAACTAAAAATAATTTGGAGAAACCAAAATCATCTGAAAATTTTGTTTGGCGGGATTTGTGTTTTTTTTTTTCTTTTGGGTTTTGGATTTGTCCGAAATGTTTTTGACCGGTAAAAAGATTTGGTTTTTTGGCGTGGTGGGTTTGATTGAAAACAAGTTTCAGATTTTGGGAGTACTTTTTAATATTTTAAAATTGTTGTCCTTTTTGAGACATAGAAGATTATAATTTAATATATTTTCACCTCACCTAAGTATTTACATTTAATAATTCTATATATATTATTGATTTTTTATTATAAATTTTATCTAAGTATTAGGTGTTGAAAAATAAATTATCTAAGTAAATTTAATATTTTTAACATATAATTATTATGATTAAGTAAAGTTGTTAAAAACTTGTTAATTTTACTTTGTAATTTTTTGAATTTAATTATATTATTAATAATTATTTATATACAATTGTTTGATAAATTTACTTAAAATAATTTTAAATTTATGTTCTTCAACTCATTAGTTTTAGACATTTATTTATTTATTTTGTAAGTTGAGATTGTTTAATTTTTATTGAGAATTTTGTGTTACTGTAGTTGTAGACTTGTAGTAGTCAAAAACATATCACTCATAAATGAATTCAATTGAATAAGCTTCATTTTGAAGAAAGTGTTATTTAGTTGTAATCTTCGAATTGTAGTCAGTTTCTTAAATTCTTACGATTAGATTGATCGGATCTAACCATGCTAAAACTTAATTTTGAGATACATACAGTATAATGTATTTTTCTGTACATAAATATCCCTTTTGTGTTAAAACACAATGATTCAAAAGAAATAATGGACATATCCATATCGTACCCAAAGAAACGACCATGTAAAAAGTAACTCATGAATGAATCTATTTACATAAGCTTCATGTTGAAGAAAGTGTTCCAAACCTTTATGTTAAAGGTATCACGTTTCTTCAGTTTCACTTGCTACCAAAACATTCCATTGGGTAATACTTTCGTTTTCTAATATGCTTACTGTTTCAACTCTTTTGCTAGATCAAGGTTAAATAACTTAGATTCTTCTTCTTATTTTTTTTTTTCTTGTAGAAGTTACAAAAATGGGTAAAATCATCACAATTGTAAGAAAAAAACATTTGGAAAATAAATTTTCTAAGCAAGTTAACATTACTCTCTATGTTTTATTCATTAACTGTTGTTCTTTTCACTTAATGTAGATAAATTAAAGACATGTTGTAGACTTGTAGTCTTGTAGATTTACTTATTATTTTCGAGACATAAATAATACACAAATCTTTGACAAAAAATAATTGTCTTCTACTTTATTTTCCAGTTTGATTAAAAATCTTCTTTTGTCGAAAAACCGATTAAATACAGTATCTTCTATTTATTGTTTTCCACAAAAATATTTATAATTAAATATTAAAAACCGTATTTAGTTGATTAAGACCTTGAATGACATGCCGATTTTAGACTGGTTTTTTTGTTTTTAATTCTAAAACCCCAAAAAATTAGCGCCATTCATGATTTTAGCAAAACAGATTTCTTAAAATTTAAGAAAATCAGATTTTAGGAGATTTTACTACTTCCTTCATAAAATCTAAAAACCATTTTTTATGGTTTTCTAACAAATATAACGTGATTATTTTTTCATTTATTTTATATTATTTTTTTTCAAAAATTATCAGAAACTAAAATCTAAAGCAAAAACCAAAAACTAAAAGCTAAAACACATTTAATATCCTCAATGTAAATGAAATTCTAGATATTTACTGTGTTTTTCTTCTACAAATATTCGATAAATAATAATTATCTATCTTTTACTTATTTTCCAATTTACATTAAATATTTTATATTTCCTTTATTCCACAAAATTATTTATATTTAAACCATCTATTAATTTTTATAATTTCTGAAAAATCATAATCAATCGATTAATAATCTCAGCTTAAATTAAATTCTAAATATTTTCTCTCAAAAATTATAATTTTGATACTATATTTCATGTATTTTTCAGTAGTAGATTATTAAAAAAAAAAAAAAAACACATGTACTGCTGTTACTAGTTTACTACCGAACCAAACAAAATAAATGTCTCTACTGTACTTTTTCAGTTTCACCACTTCCTAAACCGACGCCAAAAGCAAAACTCATCTCTTCCTTCTTCTTCTGTCTCCACAACCCAAAAAATCGAAAAAACCAAATTCTCTTAAAAAAAAATGGCAGAAACCGCCGATACAATCACCACCACCGCGACCTCACCACCACAATCCGAAAGCTCCACAACGTTATCCGCAATCACAGATCCAACATCTCAAGAAGCCGCATCAAAAGCCACAGATCTGACCAAAGAAGCCGAGTCAGAGACCAAACCTGGAGGCATCTCTCTCCGAATCTGGCCACCGACTCAGAGAACTCGCGACGCTGTCTTGAACCGCTTGGTCGAGACTTTATCAAATGAATCAATCCTGTCCAAGAGATACGGTATTCTCAAACCCGATGAAGCGTCTACTGTTGCGAAATCTATTGAAGAAGAAGCTTATGGTGTTGCTTCTAACGCTGTGTCTAGTGATGATGATGGGATTAAGATTCTTGAGCTTTATTCTAAAGAGATTAGTAAACGTATGCTTGAATCTGTCAAGGCTCGATCTGGTAATGATAATGCTAGTGTTGGTAATGGACCTGAATCTGTTGAGGATTTGAACACTGATGATGCTACTGCTCCTTCTGTGTCTGAGGAGGAGGAAGAGAAGAGTGAGGCTTGAGGGTTTGGTTTTTTCTACTCTTGTCTCTTTGTCTTCTAGGGTTATTGTTATGGTTTTGACTAGTTCTGTGTTCTTTGTAATGATAATGATGACTTTGTGGATTTGGTATTGTTACTTACTTACTTATGCCTATGAGACTTGTGTGAGTTTCTTCATTTTTTGTTGCTTTGGGTTTATGAGATTTGATGATACTTAGCAAAGTATGCATCTTTTTGTTGGTAATATTGATTTCCTATTTTGTTTATTTTGTCAATCTTTGTTGTGTTTGGATTGGTTTTGCTTGATGCTTTATTCAACCACATCAATTGCTCCAATGCTTCATTCATTGTGTAGATGTTAGACTGATTCGTTTAGATTAGTTTCTTTCTACTTCTTTGCATCCTTGCTTTGGTGACCACTAGTGTCTGTCTCTATGCAGATTACGATTAGGTTATGTAGCGTTTTGATAATTGTGGGTTGTTAATCCTTTTCAGTGTTGGTGACATGAACTTGTGATGAGTTAGAGACATGTGTATATAGCCTTACTGCAATCGGTTTTGCTTGATGCTTTATTCAACCACATCAATTGCTGCAATGCTTCATTCATTGTGTCGATGTTAGAGTGATGTGTTTAGATTAGTTTCTTTCTACTTCTTTGCGTCCTTGCTTTGGTGACCACTAGTGTCTGTCTCTATGCAGATTACCATTTAGGTTATGTAGCGTTTTGATAATTGTGGGTTCGTAATCCTTTTTCAGTGTTGGTGACATGAACTTGTGATGAGTTAGGAACAATGTGTATGTAGCCTTACTTTGGTTTAGTGAGTATGCAGCCGTGCTTAGTCGATCAGAATTGAAGTCTTTGTTTAAACTTATCCATTACTAGGAATAGTCTGAAGTTCACTCGATTTTTCAGTAGTGACTTGGAGCATTGTTTTAGTTTCTACATTCTGAAGTAACTAGTTTGCTGAACCTAAAGTCATTCATCAGAACATGAAACTACATTACCTACAGGTTTGTAGTGGTCATGGCATAAGCCTACTCCTCTGTCTGGTTTGCTTTGTTTTGTATGGGTTTCCTTTTGGATTAGATAATGGCCTATTGACTTTTGTATTTGTTTTGTAGATATTCTTAGTTCTTGTGTTGTTTTACTACATAAGAGTTAGATGAGTATATTACGAGTTCATTGATCTCTGTATTAGTTTAATCTTAGTCTCGTGTGGGTGGGTACATAGAATTTGTTATTTCTAACTGAAACGATTTCACTGTTTCTTTGATATTCTCTAATCATTCCAATTCCATACAGAAATTTTATGGATTTCTTTAGTGCCCATTTCTTTATCAGTTCAAGAATTCAAAAAGGATTGATTTAAAATTAAACTACCTATATAATAATGATAGCAATATACATACATAAATTCTACAAAATGGTTGCATCTTTTCCTAGCACCTTTTGGTAAAATGATATTTTTTATTTATTTTTAGTAATATGAATAAATGTCACTAATGGTAGTATCTTTTCATTGAATTGATTTTTTTTTAATAAAAAAAAAATTAACAGTTGTATCTTCTTAAAAAGTTGTATTTTTCATTTTTATTTTAGAATTGTGTCTTTTATTAACAGCTTTGCCGAGTCAAATTTTCACATCTTTTAAAGTTTATATCTTTGTTCTTTTTTTGTAGAACTTTCCAACATAGATTTTTCTTTGTTTTAATATGAATCAAAATAATTTGAAATTCAAGAATTCAAATTAAGTTTTCTGTTTTTTTCGAAATGTTTAAAAATAATATAAATAATGAAAGGATAAAGATATGTTTTGTACATATATTGTTTAAAATATAAATTTTCAGAAAGCAGCAGATGTGGTGAGAGTAGAAGCAGTGTAGCATGATGCATGTAATTAATTTTATATTTTTTTCAAATTTATGAATTTTTATGATTTATAAAACAAAAGTATAATAAATTTATAATTCTTTCAGTGAGTCTATATGCACATTTTTGTTGATTGACGAAGGTCAAATTCCGACTCTTGAAGAGTAGGAAAAACGTAAAATTGTTGTGAAAATACGCTGCATACTCGCTAAACCAAAGTAAGTCTAAAATAAATTAATTATGATGTTTTATGCAAAAGTGATTTTAGACACCCACAAATGAGTCCTAAATTAGAGATAAATCTTAATTATTAGATCAAATATTTCATTAAACTTAGTTATTATATTCTAGGATCTATTTTAGGACACTCAAAAAATCACCATCGTACATGCTCTTAGTGCCCATTTCTTTATCAGTTCAAGAATTCGAAAAAACATTGATTTTAAATTAAACTACCTATATAATTTGTTACCAATATACATAAATGCTACAAATTGGTTACATGTTTAAATTTTTACGAAGTTTTCAGTATTATAAATATATTAAAATTATAAAAATTATAAATAATATAATATTTAAACTGCATAAGCTGCAGCAATCTTATAAATTTTAATATTAAATGGTTACAATCTTAAAAAATATCATACTAACTTGATATAATCCTTATAATACAAAAATATTAAAAATTAAGATGATATTAATAATTAAAGAAACATATGTTTCGTAGACATATTATTTACTCTTGTGGATTTCATGGGACTAGGTTTTTCCAGATCAAAATATTTTAAATCCGTTGTAGTGCAGACAGGTTTGACCCGCTTGACAACTTCATCTAGTTCATCATGTTCATGAAGTTTTAGTTTTCTTGGTAGTTTTTTATCCTGTTTGATACATATGTGCAAAATCTGAATCTAGCTACTCTTTATTATTTGGACATAAATGATTCATATACAACATAGTTGCATCTATCATATGTAAATCACATACAATTTTGATTTCGACCAGGACCACCATAATAAAAGTAATTCCCCCAAACCGTATCATAACTAGATCTAATATTATAACAAGTCTCTTTTGTTGCAAAGGTATCACCTCTTGGAATTTTTTTCCAAATATTATACTCATTATAAATCTTAAGATTCCTGAAATAACTAGCTTTTGTATAACCTTCCTGTGCAAAATTTCCACTCCCCATCCATGTTGATGTGTGTCGTGCGCCAACCTTAAAATCTAATATTTCTCCTCCCCATTCAACTCTATTTGCACCATTTTGAAGATGGTTGAACAACGTGGAAGGCCAGTACCCAACAAGTATATGATAATTGAGTTTCAACCACCAATTCCCTGTACGAGAATCCTATAAGAATATAACATATAAACTGTTAATTATAAATTACCATAAGATAGTGTATTCATCAAAGTACTATGGTGAAAGCTAGTATATATATCATATTGACCTTCCATATAGTTGCAGGAATATGATATTGTTCACCATTTAAGGTGGAAACAGGAGTAACAGCTGCACCTAAAGCAAATCCTTGGTCGATCTGAACAAATCCACATTCAAGATTGTAGCAGCCTGTCCGGTAACCATTAGCCTGTTTAAATTTCACCAAATCAACCCAAAAGGAAAATATAAGATCTTTCTAAGTACATAAATTCAATAAATATAAGAGAAATTGAATAACTCACAGTCCAAAAAGTAAAGTATCTAGGATTGTAATCACCATATCTTGCTTGGTACACCTAATTAAAAGCAATGAAATTGAACAATGTACCATATAATATATATAAAAAGATACCACTATAAGAAGAATGCAAGACCTGCCAACCAAATTCAATGCTATTAAGTTCTTGGTTAGGACCAGCCATAAGCCATATTTGTGCTAGGCTAAATTCGTTTATCGTTGCTTTGAGCTCCATTAAAAGTTCCGTTTACACCAAATATGGCATACTATATATGTCCACCCATCAGAAATTATAAAACCACACATAGATAAATATGTATGAGTAAAGAAAAATAATAACTTTTGAAATGCTTATTAAATGACATATATATATATGTACCTCATGTATCTCATCATTACTAGTTGAATTGGTTCGGTTATGCATACGAAAATTGTTGGGATATTTTTTTCCATAACTTTCTATTGATTTTGCTCGTAAAATATCTTCTCTTCTTGTTCTTCTTATCGGAATACTATTTTTTGGGCATTTCCCATTGATTGTCCATAATTGAGTCGCAATATTTTCTTTCTTTGTGTGTGATGGTTCAGTATTCCATCCTTCTGGATAAGAACTTGGCCTCATCTACAACATAATAGTAAATAACAAAATATAGCAGACTAAACATATGAACTAATAACCCACACATAGTTAGTTTTGAACTATATGTGTGAGGATTTCAATTCAATGTTACTGGTCTAAATATGAGTTGGGTGTTACTTCAAAAAAAAAATTGTCTACGAGGTTTGGATCTATCACATCTATTATCAAATTATGGTTAGATTTTGGTCAAAAAATAAATGAAGAACTAAAACTAGAATTTTATGTTTAAGAAGAGTAATAATAACGATAGTAAATTTAATTTAGCATTCCATACCTGAATTGTGTGATTTCTTAATAAAGGATGATCATAAATTGGATGATTTTTCATATGAACACAATCTATGATATCTCCATCGGGACTCTACACAATAATTGCAAAAGGTAAACAACCAAAATTAATAGATATCCCAAAAAAAAGAGTAGCTAGGTCTACATGTTCTCTTGTAAAACCACAAACTTAGAACTTACCTTGATGGATTTAAGAGCAGGTTTATTAAGTTTCTTTAAAAGTCGATCTACTTTAGCAGCATGAGTATCATAAATCTCGTTTCCGATGACAGTCGTCGTTGCGATGATTAGAATGATGAGCACAAAATTCACCATCACTTGATTGATCATGTCTAAGAACACGGATTTTTGATATGTTTAAGAAGTGCTTCTTGTTCTTATGTTCATAGATTATTATGTTAAATTATTTATATATATACACACAATAAAAAAAAGTCATGGAAAAGGAAAGTTTACAATAAATGCTCGAATACTTTATTTTAGAGATTATTTTCATCAAATCTTGTGATATACCTAATTAATTGAGTATACTTTTAAGGGAAAAAACTCTTTATTAAAGTAAAATAAAATCCAATGAAAGTGTATTTCATTTCTTGAAATATATTATTTCAATGCATGTGGAAAAAACATATAAATAAAGTAGTCATATATACTCCACTTGAATCATTTTATCACACACACATATTAAAAAATATTTTAAGTTTTAGTTTTTCGAAATATAAAATATTTATTTATTATTATTATTTTTGCCAATAGAAAACTATACAAAAAGTAAAATAGTCACAGAATAGGAAAAAAAATAATACAATTTGAAAATGTCAAATAATTTGAAGCATTTAGAAAACAAAAGATGTAATTATTATGATATAAAGGAGTGTATTTCTAAGGACTATACCTAAGGGTTATATAAAGGAATGTGTTTTTAAGGATTATGGATATTAATTCTGATTTATTTTTAGATATAGTATTACGTGACATATTACTTTATTTCTATTGATTTATTATGATAGAAGGTGAATATGAAAAAACTTAAGTATTGTTTTTTATTAATTTGTATAAAGTCATGATTTGTTCCAGTAACTTCTGTGTTAAATATATGACTAATTCACTCTACATAGGGCTCTGACACACAATCTATGAAACTATACAATGTAATAAAATATCATTTCTTAACAAATTTTAGCTTAACATCTTGCTAAGATACCTTTCATAATGAGGTCCTAAAGGGAATTGAGACTAATGCAAGAAAATATTGTGAAACATATATATAAGATTGATACCGCTAAATTACAAGTGATAACAAAGGACTCAACCACTAAAATAAGATGTTATGTAGTCGCTTGAAACTTTTGTGGTCATACTAGATGAGTCTCTTAACGCCGAATATAATAGAAGTGTTGTCATTACTTAGTTTGGTCTTATGGGTTGGCTCTATAGGAATCTGGGTCTACCTGTGGGCTTTGGCCTAAATAATTTGATATAGGAAGTCACCATACTCTTTTTGGTGATTGAAGTTGCTACATTTCCAAGTGTATAAGCAGGTGTTAGAGTAAAACCATTACCCATGGTAATAGTTAAAATAAGGCAAAAAGTAACTAATATTTATCAGTTTTAGGTCTTGGTTAATCGCCTAGTCGGTTGAGGTAGGCCTAGCACCTAGCAAAAAAAATCATGGATTAAACGAGAATTAATCTGAGACTAGTTTTAAGGTTATTTTATTAAATTAGTAAAAAGTAATAAATATATGGTATTAATTATATGTATAGTTTCAAAACTATAATTAACACAATATAACATATAAAACTATAATATTGGTTTTAAAATTGTAGTTAATAAACGAAAATATATTTTTAAAGCCAGATTTATGGTTTTCATAAAATTTCGAACATAAATTATTGTAAAATATCATAAAAATTCTCAATCTAAATATATAAAACCGATAAAAAGAGTAAGGCGTAAATTAGTCATTAATCGAAGCGGATAAGGTGGGCTAGCGATTACATGGGGAGTAATCGAAGTTAGGCGGAGACTTTTAGGCGATAGATAATTACCACAAACAAAAATTAACAAAACATATTTATTTGATTGTAATTTCTTAAAAACATGTTAAATAGTAATAATATATATATGTACTTGCTAAAATTAATAAATTTTTATACATTTTAAATCAAATATAACTTAAGAAATATTTAGTTAAATATGCGGTATTAGTTCTGCTTGTGTATACATCAATATCACCTTAATTTTAAAAAATAAAACTACATTTTTTTCAAGAGCCCTCAACAAAACAGTGGTTACCAAAATAGATTCTTTGATCAATTCAATTTACACAATTCCAACTTTCATTTTCTTTATTTTGTTTTGATCAAATTCTTTTTCTTATATTTTCGTATTAAATAGTTAAGTAAGTGTTTAGTTTTCTTACTTTAGAGTACAAATCGTAAAGGCATAAAGCCATAAAGTCATTAACCGATTCTTTGGATTGTATTAGTATATCATTTTCTCACCGACGCAGGAAGTTGTCTTTACAACTTACTTTGATTTTCATGCTTCTTCACGCGTCGGTATTTCAGAATATAAACCAGAAATTAAATTAATTAAAAAATAATAATAGCTAAAACATAAATAAAAAGGTCTATCTAAAATAAAATAAAGCTCTAAAGCAAAGCTTAAAGATGACTAGTCCCTTAATTAATTGGTATTAGTGATTGAAACACAAATTACGGTTACATAAAGAAAACAAAAAATAAAAGAAGTCAAGGATATGGATAGCAAATAATGTAAATACACTATATGAACATACAAATGGAAATTATTTAACGATGGACATCTCGTTAAAAATTGATTTCGATGCGATATTTTCAGTGTTTTAATTTATCGGTTTTAAGATAGCTTAATTAGAATAAAAAACAGTAGCTAATTACAGACTGCCCTTAATTTTCAGTTTGATTTTAAAGTTAAAATATGAGTAAACATTTATTATTTATTATTTTATAATCTGAGTATGATATATTTGATCTTTATCAGTTATGTTGGTTATTCTTAAGTGTTACCATTCTTTGTTTAACGTGAACCTTAAGTTTAAAATATCTTAGATTTATATTAGTCCATGGTTATTGTAGTGAATTGTGTTTTAAAAGTTGACTATTATGTATACTTATCTATTTAATTGAAAATTAATCTAACCACAATCACAGAACCACATGACCAAAAGAATTTATAATTCACCATTTTAAAAACCTTACAGTTTACACTAAACACTAATTTATTAGTTAAAAAGAGCTAATAATCTGATTTATGTTATGCTAGTTATTAGGCTCGGTTTATTCTACTCCAATTATAATTAGGATATTTACTCTTTTACATTTAACCTAATTTCTTATACAATATATATTCTTCTTATCATCAGTAAATATTCAAGCTTTCTCTCAACTTTGGCATTAATAGATAATAAAACTTTTATATATATTAGTAACTGAAAAATTATTTTGCTTATGACCTTTTTGTTGTCAACATTTTTCTTTTTGCTTTTCTGTCGTTGAATTGTTTTTTCCATCCTTGATTTTTTCTTCTGTCGTTGATTAATTTTGTTTGTAAGTACCCTTTATATTTCATGTAAAAAAACTATATAATAATAATAATAATAATCAAACCTTTACATTACATGTATAACGACTTGTGCAAATAAAAAGCCTCTAATTAGTGAATTACATGGCATTGAATAAATCAAATGCTTAACAAAAAAAAAAATTACACTATTTTTTTTTTCCTTTTCTATGACGTAAAACTTTAATACACAATCGTTATATATAGTTTATGCAAAGGCAAAAATAAACTTAAAAAAAAAAAAAATCAATATCAATGGTGTCATTAGGTATTGATCATTAGTGTCCACGGCCTCTCCTGCTTGGCCCAGAAGCTAACCGGAAAGCCAAACTCCTCATCAAAAGATGGTCTTTAGAACCGTTCGCCGCCCCCGAGAACAAGCCAAAACCGCCACTCTCTACGGTACCAGTCGTTTGATCACAGCCTCCTGTGGTTGTTTGCTCTGTTCGCAAGGCTCTGCAATCAACTCCTCCAAGAATTGTAAACGCCTCGACCAATAAGACAATACACAACAAGATCATAATCTTCTTCTCCATCGATCTTTTATGACTTAAAACTTCAATTGATTTCTTCTCTTGAGCTCTGTGAGAAATGTTTGATTTGTGAAAAAAGAAGAGTTGTTGAAGTATGAGATGAAAGGCTTGGAGGTGTTGTGTTATTATATATATAGTTGTGTGTAGGTGCGTGTGTAAGCAAAGTGCATTTATTGACCAAATGATAATGTTGGACTAATTTGATTTGGACTTCGCGTTTTCTTTATATAAATAGTAATATTTAGTGTATTTTATTGCATTTGAATAATTCAGGTAGCATCTTTTTAAAGTGTGTATTCATAACCATTTTAAACTGTTCACAAACTACAAATATTAACTACTATTTGTAGGTTTTGTGCAAATATGTTTATCAACTATTATAGAAACTTGCCTCTCTATTGTATTCACATAAAAAAAAAACTATTCATTTGTGATCAATTTTCTAAAATAAAAAAAAATGCATATATAATTCAACGAGCTAAATGTAAATATAGTTAAATAGTTTTTAGTTTTTACTCACAAAATGTAAATTACATCTTAAACCAGGATATAAGAATATCAACGTGACTAGTTAATTTTTTTTTTAGTTTTCAACATTTTTTGTATTTGTCAGTTTCCGCAAAACCCAAGAACTAAAATCTAAAATCTAAAATCAATACTTAAAAAGACTACTTAAGTTTTGATTTTTAAAATCATGCCATTGTTCAATTGAACAATAGTAAAAGAAGACCTTGTGTGTGTGTGTGTGTATTCATCGTCTTAGCAACCAAGTTTTGGACAGATTTTTCCAAACCTACTTGTTTTGGCCGAGAGGGATTATTGTTATAGACGCTGACTTCGAAAAGAAAAGTAAACAATAGTATAGTTTGTAAATACAAATTGCTATAAAACTATGATGAAAAAATAAATATTTTATAAATGTGTAGTCATATTTAGTGGCAAAAGATTAGATTAGTTTTCCTCATGAAACCTAACTCGGCTTGGTCGACAGGTATTCTTGGACTCTGACTTTGAAAAAGAATTGTAATATATATATATATAAGAATTTAGCATAAACATACAAAACGTTTGTAAAAAGTGGAATTTTAATTAGTTTGTGAAGTTGTCTGTCCAATGTGAAGAGACAAAATTGTAGTTGAACGAATGAGCTAACACACACACATATATATAAAAGAAGCGTTGTGCCGTTGTCCAAATTACAAAAGTCATAAGAGTATGTTCGTGTTCGTGTTCGTGTCTGAGTTGTCGACTTTTGACTTTTGTCCGACGTTGGTTTTTCGTTGTTACCAGTGTTGTGTAATAAAAAACGAAAAAGTCGCGTTCGTCGGGGGTGGCAAAATGGTAATTTTAATAGAAGATCTTTGCTGTCTTAGTGATGACGTGGCACCGTCTGATTCAGTGTCACACTCGTTAACGTGTTGTTTTTGTTTTTCGGCAATATACATCTGTTCCGACCGGTTGACCATCTGATTTTTTAGTTTCTTAAACGTAGTAAACTTTTAAGAGTGTAAGTATTTAAAAGAGTCGTCAATTACATACAATTTAACTAATACTAGAACTTAACCCGCAGTTCACCGCAAGATAATATATTTATATCGTAAAATTTTCATATCAATAACGGTTATACTACGATGGTTTTGTTATTTTATCATCAAAAAATATTTTTTCTTTATCGTAGTGACATAGAGTTTGATTGATTTAAACAAAGTAGTTGCGGTTACACATGCATAAATTTACGAAAGTATAAGGTTTAGTTGTTAACTTAATTTAAATGTTTTAAATGATTAATTTAGAGGTTGCAAAAATATTTAGGGTTGAGAATTAATGTGAGAATATATCGAATTTGATTACATATTTGTTTTAACTATGCTTTACATATATATAAATATCTTAAAGAATAACCCTAAAAAGTTGGAATTTGTTACCGTCATAACATTGAAAAGATACCATAATTATAAAATTTTAATCATCTATCATAAATACCTAATTTTAAAAGAGAATGTTTGAGAAATACCCTTTTTAGTGTACCATTTTTCAAAAATACTCCCTTTCTCTATCTATTTTCAAAAATACCCCTGTTTAAATATGAAACATTATAAAGTTTTATATAATTTATAAGGTACTTCTATATAATAACTATTACTGGGAGATTCGATACAAATATTTTATAATGTTTAAAAAGGTTTTAAATCGTTTTTACTTGTTTTAGAAGGTTTTTAAAAGGTTTTTATAAGTTATTTTTACGCCATTTATGAAAGATATATAAAATTTTATACACATACAAAGGTAATTTGTGTATATTTATAAGCTTACGTATATATTTAGATAAATTTTAGCATTTCTAGTGATTTGTTTGATAAAGTTTGAAACTAGGGTATTTTTAAAAAGTATATTTGGAAAGGGGTATATCTGAAATTCTCCCTAATTTTAAATAGATATTATGAATACGTAATCTAGTTTTTGAAATCTTGAAGTATGTTTTGTTTAATTTTTATAAATTTTGTAGAGTAAAATATATTAAAATCGAATAATATATATATTTATAACATTATGTTTTTATATAATATGTTTTCAAATTATGGGGGAATTTCAAAGATACCCCTTTTCTAATACCACTTTTTAAAAATACTCCTCTTTCTAATTTTATCAGAAAGTCACAATAAAATTTGAAATTTATCAAAAAAATTATAGACACAAATTATCTTTACATGTGTGTAAATTTATATATATATTTCATAAGTACCATATAAATACCTTTTAAAAATCATATAAAAGCTTATAAAAACTGTGTAAACCTTTTAAAAACCTTATAAAAACCATATAAATGCCGTTTAGAACCTTTTAAAATTTTTTAAAATATTTGGATTTAGTCTCCTATTAGTAATGATGATCTTGATGTACCTTATCAACCATATAAAAGCTTATAATTTTCATATTTGAAAAGGGGTATTTTTGAAAATGAATAGAAAAGATGGGTATTTTAAAAAAAGGGTACATCAAAAGGGGTATTTCTCAAAAGTTCTCTATTAATTCGAATTTATAAAAGTTATTATTAATATTAGTCATATTAAAATTAAATTTAGAGTTTAAAATCATGTAAATTTGTAAGTATAAGTTTTTATAAAATTGAATATGTATAAATATATTTTTAAAAGAGAAGACACAACTTAAGGTTTTATGTCTTGTCTATATAATTAAATCTATAATATATAAAGAATATTCATTGGTGTAGTCAAAGTATTAGCATTATTTATTTTATTTAACTACAAATACGTATTTTGAAAACAAAAAAATGTTTGCTTAATTTTGTTTCATATTCCCTTTATCCAAAATCAAATTTTTATTAGAATATTTTATACTTAACTTTATTTATTTATTAGTAAGATTTTATTAATATTTTTAGTAAGATCCATATTAAATACCCATGGATCTTGGATAATTTAATTGGATGATCCAAATGTACTTGTCATCAATACCAAATTACCCTTATTGATTTCTAAATTCTTTTTCTAAAAGCAATAATTAAAGGGTAATTATGGAATTGGAGTCATAATTTTGCAATGTTCTAATTTGTACTTCTCTTTTAATATTATAAAGAATATTCATTCATTATATAATAGACCAAAATTAATTCTAACCCTTTCGACTTATTGATCCGCAAGCTCTAAATTTGGTTTCATCAAAATAATGTTTTTGTCACATTAGAACATTTTTATTAAATTAATTTTTTCAAGGTAAAATATAAATAATTTTGAAAAAAACTTATCTTCTTTTTCCTATAAACTTAAAATTAAGGATTAGTATAAGGCTTTCATTTTTAGGATCTTATTGTAAACTTTTCTTTCATAAATATAAATATCTTAAAGAATAGCCCTAAAAAGTAGGAATTTGTTACCGTCATAACATTGAAAAGATACCATAATTATAAAATTTATTTTAATCATCTATCATAAATACCTAATTTTTAATAGATACCCTCTTTTAAAAATACCCTCTTTTTTTATCATTTTCATTTTTGTCCTCTCTTATTTTTTAATAGCTATTTTACCCCTATTTGAAAGAATATTCTTTCCCAAAGGAAGGAATATTCCTTCCAAAAATTTCCCCCCCCAAAAATTTCCCGCCAAAAACTTTCCCGCCAAAAAAGTTTCCGAGAAAAAATTTTCCCGCCAAAAATTTTTTCGAGAAAATTTTCCCGCCAAAAAATTTCCGCCAAAATTTTCCCGCAAAATAAATTATTTTTTCAAAATTTTCCCACCAATTTTTTTAAAAGGGTTTACAAGATTTTTTAAAGGGTCTTTTAAAGGGTTTACAAGGGTTTTTAAAGGGATTTACAAGAGTTTTTAAATGGTTTTTAAAAGATTTGTAATGGTTTTTAAAGAGTTTTAGAAGCCTACAAAGGTTTTTAAATGGTTTTTAAATGATTTACAATGGTTTTTAAAAGTTTTTATAAGTTATAACAGTTTTAAAAGGATTTACAAGAATTTTTAAAGGATTTTTAAAAAATTACAAGGATTTTTAAAGGTTTTTTAAAAGGATTTACAAGTGTTTTTAAAAAGATTTAAAAGTATATTTAAAGGCATACAAAGATTTAAAAATAGTTTTAAAGGATTTACAAGAAGTTTACAAAGGTTTTTGAAGGGTTTACAAAGGTATTACAAGTTCTTTAAAATGGGTTTTAATGATTTACAAGGGTTTTTAACGGGTTTTAGAAGTTTACTAAAGTTTTTATTAAATGATTTATCACGGTTATAAGTGATTTAAAGGGATTTACAAGTGTTTATAAATGTTATAAAATGATTTACAATGGTTTTAAAAGGTTTACTCAAGTTTTGAAAGGTTTTGGATGACTTTTAAAAGATTTACAAGGGTTTTTAAAGGATTTTTTAAGGGATTTATAAATATTTACAAGGTTTTTTTAAGAAATTGCGGAAAAATTTTGGCTGAAAATTTTTGGCGGGAAAATTTTTGCCGGAAAATTTTTGGCGGGAAATTTTTTTTGGCGGGAAATTTTTTGCCGGAAAATTTTTGCCGAAAACTTTTGGCGGGAAAATTTGGCGGGAAATTTTTCGA